AAAATTTACATGAAATTCACCTAGATTTTTGTAGACATTTAAAAATCCACATCGAATACGCTTGAACTTTTAAAATCCATGTAATTTTAAAATTACTTTTTTAATATAGTACGCTGATTTTAACGAGTCAAGGACCATTATTAGAGCATTTTCAATGTAACAATGTGCACATGTAGTATGCGAGATATAAACACTAAAAATAAATCATTATTTACTCTTCCATTTTAACGGCACTATAGTCGTTATGCGCCTTAAAATAATACTTCGTATTCAATACAACACTTATACGTAATATAATGTAATAAGCATTGTATCCATAAGGAAATTAAAGAAACATGTTTCTTTTAATTAAATTGTAACAAGGGGGTTTTAAGATTCATTTTGAACTTCAGAGTAGTTAAACACGAAGATGGGCGACTTATATGGTTTAAATTAATAGAGTTTGACACCTGGTTTTGCTTATTTCTATTTAATGAAATGTTCATCGATCTCAATTATATCTTTAATCATCTTCATAAACACTCAATCGTGGAGTATTTCCAATTCATCGAGAGTAGTTATTAATAATGAGACGTGTTCATTAATAAAACTTACTATTAAGTCAATATATAACATGCGACGTATATTGACCTGATAGTAGCAGTAAAACTTAAGATGAAACCGATTGAGATTGACAACCTCAACACAAATGGTTTATTAGTTTAGTCAATATAATTAATTCCACTTAGATTATTAACCATGACACACATGCATTAATAATCCAAGTTTACTAGCGTTGAAAGAACCGAACGATAACAAGCGTATTCGTCGATCGATTTTAGTAAAAATTAATATATGAAACAAAATCATCTGATTATTGAAGTAATGCTCAAATATTTAGGGCTGGCATTTTTAACCGAAAAACCGAAAACCGAACCGAAAAAACCCGAACTGAACAACAAAAAAACCGAACTGAAACCGAACCGACTTGAATGGGACCCGAAACTCGGGACCCGAATATTAATCGGTTCGGAAACGGTTCTATGATATTTAAAATCAGTTCAAACCGAACCGAACCGATTTTTTTTTAAATAATAATTATTTAAATATTTTATTTAATTAGTAACCGTATATGTAACATATACCATTAGTGCCCCTTGTTGACCAACTGTCTCCCGTAGCTTAGCGGATTAGTTAAAGCTTTCCTTCTTATTCACCCGAGTTCGAATTCCGTCAGGTACTCGTAATTCACTTTTACTTCCGTTCGAACTTATTTATATATGTTTTCAATTTTTCTTCGTCACTTACGTTATTCCCACACCGGATACCATTGAGGATTCACTCCTCAAATATCGTTATATAACTGCCCCCATTGCGTTGTAGTTGAGTAGTTGGCTACTAAAGCCTCTAAGGCCGATTATTGGCTACTCTATAATCAAAAATATGAAGTATATATTTAATTTTCCGCTATGCCATATCATTAATTCGGTTTTTTCACAAAAACTGACACGAAAATTCGGTTTCCGAATAATTGGGTCCCGACCAAGTTTGGTTTGGTTTCGGTTAGTATAATATAAGAAACCGAAAAATCGGTTCGGTTTCGGTTATTCACATTTCGGTTCGGTCCCGATCCGAATCCAGCCCTACAAATATTTATTATGAGATATAAAATAGGGATGTAATTAATATTCAAGAAAGATGATTAAAGAAAATAACTCACAACTTACAAATCATAAGCTTCAATGTAGCAAATTAAAATCAAGATGCAAGAGTTTAACTCCTCATTTAGAGACTAAACATGCCAAAAATATAAAGTGTATGGAGGTGACAGGGTTGTGTATCCGATCGGATATATAGGGTACTCGATCGGGTACCTTCAGCAGTTTCTCGGAAGCCACAAAAATCACACATTCCAACCAGGTATGTCGGTCTACCTGATCGGGTATGACACAAAATCTTCAAATAGACTTAGCCACGATCTCTTGTTCTCCGGATTTGATTTTGACACAAGAATCCGGTCAATACCACACCTAGTATACGAACAATTTTCCGAATCTTCAATTGTTATTGTTCATTTGCACATTCTTTGGTGTTTGTGATTCATTCTTTGATCCTTTTGATGACTTTGACCTGATTTAAGTTCAGAATAGTCCTAATCTAAACAAATCACAAATATCTGACAAACTAAAGTATAACACCAAAAGTGTGTAATTTCAAACATAACAAACAACAAAACTAATTAAAAGTGTAAACATACAAACGAAGCTTACTACAATGTCACATGTCTTGATATTATTGTTAGAGCATCTTCAATGTACACAATGCACACATGTGATATTAAAGATATAGACACATAAAAATAAATCATTTACGCACGTTTCTATCTCTATTTCTTTCCACATTTTTATATAATTTTAGTAACTTTTTAACAATATATAATATCAATTACAATGTATACGTACTTCTGGACATCCGTCTTGACATTGTGGAAACAATTTATAGAAATTTCCCTAAATAAGAGTAAAAACGCATTGAAATTTTAAAATAGGAGTATCATGTTTTTTATTCTTTGAATAGGAGTAATTTGCCATGTTTGAAAAAAAATGTCATGTTTAAAAGCCCAGTAATGTCAAACTTGGCAGAAATTTACTCCTATTTAGTGAATAAAAAACATGATAGTCCTATTTTGGAATTTCAAAACTTTTTCACTCCTATTAAATAGGGAATTTACTCAAAATTTATAAAAAAACTTATATCTTTAATTTCATGGTACATGTACATCATGCACATTGTGACATTTAAGATGTTTTTAGTGAACCGACAATTATGATTTAATTGCCTAAACAATGCACTTCATATGCGATTACTTTCAGGCTTATCTTTACTTATCTGCAATGAAGTTTTTTAAGAGATAATAGTCCTAATTAATAGGACTATGTTACTTATTTTCCCGAAAAGGACTAAAGTATACTTTACCTTCCTATTATACCCTTAACATAACTTTATAGGATAATTATATTTTAATTTGTAATAAATACGAAAAATATTGAAAAATAATTTAACTTGTACGTAGTACAAAACATCGTAAAAATTATAAAAAATTCAAATAATTTTTTTTGAATAAATACTAAAATAAGAAAAAAATACTCCTTCTGTCCCTAAACAAAAGCATTTGTTTCCTTTTCGGACCATCTCTAAAAAAGCCCCCTTTCTTTTTTGCAAACAAAACAGTGCAAAACAGTGTCAAACAATGTCCAAATAGTGCCAAACAGTACCAAACAACCCCACTTTCTTAAAATGTGTAGAAAGCGAATGGATACTTTTATATAGGGATGGAGGGAGTAGAAAAATAATTTTAAAAAAAACTCGAGACTTTAAAAATAAATAAAAATAGATAAAACATCTTAAAAAATATTAACAAATATGGAGACCTGTCCCACAGCCTCAACCACTGCCCAACCAAGTTACTTCCGATTGGCTAAAGATGTCATTCTATGTAAAAACTGTCATTTTTTCTATGAAAATGCAATGAAAATAACATTTTTACTCTTTGAAAATGTCAAAATTTTCTCGAAAACGGTCATCAAGATGACATTTTCTAAAACATGTTGGCATTTTTTCCGGTGATCGAAGCTGGAGGTGCTGAGAGGTTGCTGAGGTGGCAGCATTGGCCCACATGTTTTTTTCATTTTTTTTAAATTTTTATTTTTCGATTTTTTTATTTTATTAATTTTATTTAGTATTTATTGTGTTTTTTTCACATTTTTATTATAAATAAAGCTATGTTATTACTTTTATATTTTAATTATTAATGAAATATGAATTATATTAAAACAAAGCAATGGTAGAATTGGAAAGCTAGTTTTATTTAGGGAATTTTTAATTTATGATCCTATTTTGGCATTTGACCTCGTATAGATCATATAAAATTATATCAAATTTAAATAGACTTAAAGTGTAGTTGGTTACACATATTTTAGCTTATCACTCTTATCACACCACTCTCTAAAACATATGTAACCTTTTCATTTTGCACACTAAAGTGTGTGATCATCATAACAAGTACGACTATTGTAGCTGCTTTTCCAAAATCTTTTCTTTAATTTATAAATACAATGTATTTTAGATATGTTTTTTTTTCACATTTCGGCCGATTTCAACTCCTTCATCAATAGTTTCATCAGTTTTAGATAGGAATATAATTGTTTTATAAGAGTAAAAATGTTTTGAATTTCAAAATAGAACTATATTTTTTTTATTTTAAATATGAGTACTTACTGTCAAACTTGAAATAAATGTTATTGTAAATTCTAATAATGTCAAAATATAGTAGTATTTGTCACAAACGTATGATTCTTGTAGCATATTATAAGAGAATAATAAAAAATATCACAATCATTTTATGAGATTCAGAGAGGATTTATTTTACACATATGTATGATAATTTCTTACTACAAAAGAATTGAGAAAGTAAGATATTTAAATTTAAAGACTCCTCACCCGTCTCTACTAGTAGAACTGATGATCATGATGCCCGCATGAGCTGATCAATTCGTCAAGGGGTGAAATTGTGAACAAGTGATCGATCATCAAGTCCCGCAAACGACAACATGAGAGTAATCTTTTAATGTTAGAGGAGACTCAATGTATGCAAGAGACACAATTCTAGCTTTTGCTTTTAGGTGTGTCACAAATTGACAATGAATTACAATCCTTGACAAGATAGTAATTGTAATAGATGACCCGAAAATGCTATTTGTACACAACAAAGTGTACACGCCATTTTACACGATGCGAAAGTTGTCTATATACAGACAATTTGACCAGCATTCTGTGAAGAGAATCAATTTCGCACAGACAAAAATAAAATTATCTCTGACAAAGACAATTTTTTGGTCTACACAAAGTCCAGTTTTTTTACACAAAGCCGATTTAATTATATACATATAATTTGATATAATTTGATAGACGTATAAAATGACTCGTAGAATGAAGTGTACTATAAGCATAAGCCTACAGTATGCGCCCCCACTCATATGTTCACACTGTCTCTATCCTTATACAGAGCATAAGCCTTTCCCTTTGCCCACAATCTCTGCATTTTCCAGTCACTATCGATCGCTAGTTTCCTTTCATCCTAATATAATAAATCTCCGATCAATCATCCTTTTGCTACAAAATGGTGTTGAGCTGGAACGTTTTTTGTTCACTGGCGGTGTACATTCTCGCCGTGTGGCCAATCACCGCGGCGGCGGAAGATTGAGGCTCCGTCATAATGATAAACAACCTGGCTGACTGTCTATCTTTCATCTCCAATGGCAGTGCGAGGACGGAGCCGCAGGGGACCTGCTGCTCCGGGCTTAAACTTGTGTTGAAAACCAACCGGAGTTGCCTATGTGAAGGGTTTAAGAGCAGCGAGGATTTCGGGGTTTCTCTCAACGTCACCAAGGCCATGACGCTCCCCTCTGCTTGCAACGTTAGTGATTCATCTGTTACCAAATGCGCCTGTGAGTATTTTTTTCCATTGGATCGGACTCGACTGATACAAAGAATTTTTTGAAGAAAAAAAATTACACGAAATTTTTATGATAAAAATAGTGATATTTTTAAAATTTAGAGTGAGAAATGACTCGATTGACTCCCATAGCTACGCCCCTGACTTATGTTTCACTCCATCCTTCCAGAAATTAAGTTTGATGTTTGACTTCAATAGTAAATATACTTCCCTTTCCCAAAACGGCATTGGTGATTAAAAGATGTGATAAGTAGATGGTATAATAAAGAGGTAAATGAATAGTGAAAGGGGTAACACACATCAATAGAATATTATTTGGTCCGATTCTTTTTAGTACTCCGTATTTGATTTGATCATATATTCATATCTTGTTCTATGTTGTTATGTTTGAAGTGTTTTCCATCTCATTAAAAAGATCTTATCGAATTCTAAAATTCATATTCAAATGTCAGTTTGAAAATATTAAAGGATGATCAAAGTTGTTGTACCTTTTACGTAAAACATTGTAAATGGCATCCGAACACTAGTTTTAGAATTCAAAGTTATCTTTCACGGTTTCAAAGTTTTACGTTATTCTTAGTTTCTTTTCATCTTCTTTGTAATGGATCAAATAATCAAGCATCACTTCAGGGGCTCATGTCTGGTATTTGCTCGTTGCGCTACAAATTATACTCTTAAAACTTCGATTAATACACCCTGTATTTTTGTGAAGTTTATAAAAATACTTTTATGGAAGTATCTAACAAAGAGCATTGTCATACGTAGTAATTTTTATGTTATAAACAATTCCTTATAAAACTATACAGTTGTTAAATTTTAATTCAACTGATCGAAAAAGTCAATAAAGTTTTATGTCACAGAAAATATAGATTAAAGGTTTGTTATCTTGCCTAGTCTATTTAAGTGTCTTTAATTAGTTTGATACACATGTGATATACGTAATATATGTGTAACTTATTATTGTTTAAACGTGGTCTTGGTAGATTTGTTCAAGTCTAATCTTTTATGAGATCAAACAAACCCATGTCTATTTACTCCTATTTCACAAAATTTAACCAATTTTTTTATTTACTCGTCTCAAAAAGTTATGTGATTTCCCTTTAAAATATTAAATATATGGTTAAAGTTATTGCTTAATTATTTTATATGTAAGTCAACTTTGATCAACGTTTATGGGATGCGGAAGTATAAAATTTATAAAATAATTAAATAGACTAGCTTGTCCATATGAACTTGTTATTGTTACTGAATTCTTTCTTTTTTAAGAGTATGTGGGGTGACATATCCTTTTTTTCTCCATCTTGGTGGCTCCAACAGTGTCGCCGTTGTCTTCAAGAAGAGTTCCTGCTATGGTGGGAAGTCCGACAGGAAGTTCGTCGGTGCCGGTAGCTACTTCTCCAATTCAAGGAAACTCTGTTTCCTCCATGGTGGTACCGGCCTTTGTTGTCGCTCTTGCTGTTGCTGCTGCAATTTTTGCGTTGCTATTATGAGTTGGAAATTGGATGAACTACTAATGTGTGCTTTCCTACTAGCTAAGACCAAGTATGCAAGCGTAAGAAGGATGTAATGAATGGACAGAATCTCAAAAATTGGGTTTGATAAGGGAAAAAAGGGTTTATCCCTTGAGAAAAGGGTGGAGAGTGTGGAGTGAGGGGATTAGAATGGTCAGCCGACCCCCCTAAATGGTCATCGAAGCCATTTAAAAGTTCGAGAATAAAGCTATGTTTCGCAAGCATAAGTCTCTACCTTCTATCTTTTGTATTGTTCAAAAAATCTCTAAAAGTTTCTAATTATATGTTTGGCATGACAATTTTTAAGAGCTTTTCAAAAATTAAAAGATCGTTTTTGAGATGTACAGGGAGATATAAAGCCCGTGAGTTTTAGTATTAATTAGTCCTAACAGTTTGTATACCAAATCGAACTAATTCAAACAGTCAGCTTTTTATCAAACAGCTACCACCTTTGGATTTGATCGAGAAAGCCAAGGTTGAAGCTGAAAAATTGGCGATTGAATTAAATATTCAACCCCAATTTCGCGAAACACGTGTTCGTACAAAAAAAGAGGTTTTTCGATGAAAATGCAATGGCTGAACCCATAAAATCAGCAGAAAGTGTATTCAAGTTAACTTACTTCTTGTTTGTTGTTGATAATGCTATATCTTCACTTACTACTAGATTTGAGCAGTTTCAAAAATACGAGAATACATTTGGATTCTTGTATGACTTGAGTAAGTTGAAGGGACTTAGCGGTGAGCAATTGATGAGTTCTTGTGAAACGCTTGGCAAATTCTTGAAGCATGAGGACAGTTGTGATATTGATGCAGTTGAGCTGTTTTCAGAAATACAGTTGCTTGGAAAATCTTTACCAGAATGCACAACAAAAGTGATTGAAGTGTTGGAGTACATAAAAGATATGCATATTTCTTTTCCAAATGCTTGGATTGCTTACAGGATTTTGTTGACTATCCTGGTGACTTTGGCTAGTGCAGAAAGAAGCTTTTCAAAGCTGAAGCTTATAAAAAACTATCTACGATCAACCATGTCGGAAGATAGATTAAGTGGCTTAGCTATTTTATCGATTGAAAAAAAAAGTATTAGCTACTCTTGGTTGCAGTGATGTTATTACCGATTTTGCACTTCAAAAGGCAAGAAGAATAGGCCAATAGGGTGTTACACGTACAAGTTTGTGATGTATTTTGCAAATGTTTGTACTATTGCCTTTAAAACTTATCCTTTTGAATATTAAAAATATTATATCGTACACCTTGAATACGTTTTTCTATATGCTATTTTTTATTCAATTTATCTCTTTTCAATATGTTATTTTGCGGCGTAAGCTTTTTTCTGTCTAGGGCCTCCGAAATGCTGGAGACGCCTCTGTCAAATATATAGACAAAGAGACTGATCATCTTCATCGTGTAGGCTCATCATCATCACCTTATGCAAGTTTCCATGCACTCTTGCATACTCCCATAACATCTTGCATTCCTTCCTCAAAACATAAGCCACTAGGCCAACTCAACAAATGACCTTTCCACCTCGTCTTCTCCTCGCAGGAACCATAACAATATGTTAAAAAAATAAAATAGTGTCTGACGGTTCTCGTTGACGGTTTACGATGCTTGACTGACGATAAAGCAACTCAATCCCTGTTCACTCTCTGATTATTTTTAGTAAATAAAATTAACATATTCAGAAACTACATTAAAATCGCTACAAAGCCTGATTAAAAAAATGTAAATTTGATAAAAATTTGATTTATAAAATAAAAGATTAAAAATGATTTAAGTTGACCATGTGAATAGTGGACGGGAACCTTCTAATGGGAAGGAGGTAGTAGCATTTTGATAAATTCCATGGGTTGTCTAGCTATTTCCCTTTTAGATAGCCAATGAAGCGTATAGCCAAATAGAAAAATTGTCCTTAACCTCAATCAGCATGACATTTCACTAATTAACCTAGCAATCAGCTTTTAGTAAGAAACCATCCAACAAGATAATGACACATCAATACATTGCACGGACAATCGAATGCTATATAGACTATCATGGATGGACAAGCAACCCATTCATTTAATATGGATTCATCCATGTATAATAAACTACAAAATAAACTACCAAAAACGTAATGATGAAATAAACCATTCAATAAAAAATAGTTATGTCATTATTTTAATTGGGAAACAAGAAAATTAGTATGGTGACCTAATTAACAGAAATTTTTTGTAAAAGTCTTGGATTCAAACAAAAAAAAATTATCGAGTCATTTCAACAAACATGTTATGAGCATAATTGAGAAGTAGAGTGATTGTGTTGGGAATATTTTATGGTGTTCAATCTAATTAAATATCTTTGTATTTGTGTAGTTATTAATTAAACGTGTAATATGGGCCACAAATGTATATCAGCCCATTAGCTTCTTTATAATAAGTAGCCAACTTCTCCTATAAAAGGAAGCTAACTTATGGGAAACCTACGGATTATAGGCTTCAAGAGAATAGAGGCGAGATAGAGAGATTAGGGTTTGCCGCTGCTCTCCTTCTCAAAGGAGAGCAACGGTCATTTCACGGTATACCAGATTTGGTTTTCATCTCATATCTTTCTATTTGCTTCTTCTTTATCTGCTATGATTGTTTGTTTATTAAAGAATAATGGATTATCAGATTGAACTAAAATTTCAATAATTAACACCACATTCTCTTACAGTAATACAGAATACTCAGCCATTGAGTGTGATATCACATAACATACAAAACTTCGGAACATTTAAATAAATAAAACCCTAAGATGGATATAGAAAAATTAAAATAAATATTTCCTCAATATTATGGACTCTTTGACCGGAGCTTGTTGTTAGAGCGGCAAAAATTGACTATCTCATCCTCATCTTTAACATAGATTCCAGCTTGAAGACAAATGACGATGGAGAAAAACTTGGACGAATTAAGGATTCTGGAAGGGAGATACAAACGAAAAGATGAATGAGAAAAAAAGGGTGCTTTGAGCGTATAATGAAGAGATTAACTCAACTGGTAGCAAGGGAGTGCCACAAGGGTTAGGTCCCGAGTTCGAATCCCGGCAACTGCGATGAGGGATTACTGTGCTAAAAATGCATAGGGTCTCTGCAAGTACCGGGGACAGAGCCTCACTCTCTATCTGTCAGATTGGGATTATAGTCCAATTTACATCCCCCCAACGTACCGTCCGGTCGGGGTTGAGGGACCCTCAGGGATGGGATGTCATCCTTATAATGTGTATAGTGGTGTGTATTAAAGTATGTACAAAAAGCAAAATTGAAGTGTTTTAATAGACGACTTAGAATGGAGTAGTAAATTAATCAAAAAAATTTGTTTGTACTCACTTTTGTACTCACCTCTATTTTGCCTGCGTACACAGAGTGACACAAGCAATTCGTTAAGAAGAAGACAATATTTTATCTGTATATGTCTATGTAAAAAGACAAGGAATTGAGTATAAATATGTACTCCCTCCGTCCCGGAATTATTTCATTCTTTCATTTTCGGTCTGTCCCAAATTTATCTCATTTTTTCCTTTTTGGTAAAGAATATGTGGTTCACAACCATTCTTACACATTTCTCTCTCCTCTGCATAACTCTCCACCACACAAATCTCACTATCTTAAAACCCGTGCCTGGTCAAAACCGGAGTTAAATATGGGATGGAGGGAGTATATAAAAGTGAGTGGGACTCTTAGGAAGCAATAGACGACCACCAAGATAATTTAGGAAAGTGAGGGGACACATCAATTCCGTGCCGTCAAAAACATGGCCCCACTCATATGTTCACATTACCCCTGAACCAACTGAGAGAGTGCAACACAGTCTCTGTCCTTATATAAGCCTTTTTCTCTGGCCTGACCACAATCTCAGCATTTTCCAGTCACTATCCATAAGATCGCTACTTTCTCTTCATCCTAATAAATCTCCGATCGATCGTCTGTTTGCTGGGAAATGGGGCTGGGCTCGAACGTTTTTTGTTCAATGGCGGTGCACATTCTCGCCGTGTGGGCAATCCCCGCGGCGGCGCAAGATTGCGGCTCCGTCATAAACAATCTGGCTGAGTGTCTGTCTTTCGTCTCCTTTGACAGTAAGAAGACGGAGCCGGAGGGAACCTGCTGCACCGGCCTCAAACTGGCGTTGACAACCAATGCGAGTTGCCTGTGTGAAGGGCTTAAGGGCGGCAACGCGGATTTCGGAGTTTCTCTCAACGTCACCAAGGCCATGACGCTCCCCTCTGCTTGCGGCGTTAATAGCAATTGCGGCTGTGAGTAGTTTTCCCATACCTTCTGTTTTACGGTCCTTCCAAAAATTAGATCAGTTGACCTTTAAACCTAAAATATGAGATCACTTCATTCTCATCGATCAATAAAAGTCAATTTGACGAATCTTTTCGAGACGGATGGAGTACGCTAATGGCGGAATGAAAATGAATTGAGGTAATACCCATCCGAATGAAGTGATTTGAGGATAAACGGATGAATGAACAATATTAGGTAAAAGCTTACCAAAAATAGATACAAGTTGAAGTAGGAAAGAGGTGGAACTTAATTTTGGGATGGAGGGATTATTTGTTTTCATTAAATAGGACGATTCCTAATTCGTTTGATCCTTTTGATTATTACCCAAAAAACAGTGAACAGCACCGGCAATCCATCATCGCCTCCTGGTACGTGCGTTTCAATCAGATCTGTTGTTTTCAAACTTTTTCGTCATAATAATTTATTTTCATTTTCTTTGCTATGGGATGAAATAATCAAGCATAACTTAAGAGATGACTTGTAACTTTTAAGTGATCTGTTAAATTTTCAATGCGTATCCATGAGTTATAACTTATAAGTGATGAGATTTTAAATTGGATTAAAATTTTGTTGCCCTGTTTAGACATATGTTGTATGCTTACTTTATTGTTGTCAGTCTAATTAGATGTGTTGAAGTTTGATTTTTTTTACATTAAAAAAAGGGAAAGTTCCCAAAATAGGACTAAAACAGTTTCAAAATTCTAAAATAGGACTGTCATGTTTTTTATTCCCAAAATAGGACTAATTACTGCCATGTTTAGAAAATACTGACATGTTTGAAATCTGGTACTGCCAAAACATGTTAGTAATTAGTCATATTTGGGAATAAAAATATGACAGTCCTATTTTGGAATTTTCAAATTGTTTTAGTTCTATTTCGGGTGATATATAAAAAAATTAATTTTTTAAATCTGATTTGATATGGTTTGAGACTCAAACTAAGAAAACCAAAACCATCCTTAGAAATCAAATTTAATTCAACATCCGAATATTTTATTAATTTTCATTAAATATAGGGAAAACTGTCAAATAGGTTCTTGAGCTTTCATATAGGTCAATTAAGTCCTTCTATAGGAGGTTCTGTCCGGCCGTCGTGATTTGGGTCAGTTCCCGGTGGATTTTTTTTATGAAATTTTTTAAGCATCTTATTCACCAAGTCTAGTTTACTCATACCAAATTTCAGCTAAAAATTCAATCAGGAACTCATTCAAATTAATTCTTGAAGATAACTGCGCATTTTTGCGTTCTCGAATTAATTTGAATGTGCTCCCGATTAAATTTTTAGCTGAAATTTGGTATGAATAAACTAGGTTTGATGAATAAGATGTTCAAAAAATTTCATCGAAAAATTCCACCGGGAACCGCCTCAAATCGTGACGACCTGACAGAGTCTCCTATATAAGGACTTAATTGACTTTTTTATAAAAGTTCGAGGACCTATTTAACAGTTTTCCCTTAAATATACGATTGGTGCAGCAGTTACGATATTATTATGCGATTCACAGATTATGAGTTCCGTGAATGGTCTCTTGTCAAATTAGAAAGGGAAGACTTAACTTTTATACGTATATTCCGATGCTCGGAACCTTCCCGAACCCTGGTGTGGCAGATATCCTGTTAGACCCTTGGCTTCTTAAGTGCCTCACAAGAAAAAAAGAACAATTAGTGTTTTTGAAATATAAACAATGGTCTCTATTTGTACTTCGTTGGCTCCAAAATGTTTAGAGCCCGTTTGGTAGCACGAAAATCAGCTGATTTGGTTGTTTCTGCTGAAATTTATGAAATTCTGGCTACATTGACTGCATTTGCTGATTCTACTGATTTAAGAAAAAATACTTTTAAAATATATTTTATTAATAAAATAAAGAAAAAATTTTATGCAAAAATAGCTAAAATGGTCATCTACAGTAACTTCAGCCAATACATCCAGAAAAATAACTCCAACCTTATTTTTTCTGCTTATTACACAATTCAACGCGCGAAAGCAAAAGTTACGTGTTTGATGAAAAAGTTGACTGATAAGCCTCATAAGCCGAAAAACAGTGTTACCAAACGGCCTCTTAGTCGTTTTTGTTCTCTTATTTACATATACAAAACTCTAGTTCGATTTTATGAAAACTAGTTTAAATTCTAATCAACAAAATTCATACACATATTAAGTTGAGATGATTTAACTTTATATACTCCCAAATCCCAAATCAATTTGACATGGATGAAGTATTTGAAAAAACTAATTTTATATTAAAGCTGACATGTATGCTTGTTTTTATTTGGACGTGTTATGTGTGCGGTATTGTTATCCTACTTATCCATATTGTTTGTAATCAAAATAAATTGAATGAATATATTTGTTGTAATTATCTATTTTGTTACTACCTCCGTCTCGTTATGATTGTCTCGTTTTACTTTATCGGTCCGTCTCAAAGATTGTTCCATATCAAATTTGGTAAAATTTGTGTGGCTCTAAATCATTCTTACTTTATCAATTCAATATCAACCACATAAACCATTTTTTATTAATTTGCGTGTCACTCTCTCTTGTCCCATTGTTAGCGGGACGGAAGGAGTATTAGTTAGCGGACTCAAGTTATAAGTGACTTAAGTTAGTGAGCTAATAGTGATAACGGTCTAAAGTTAGAGAAATTGAAAAATCTCTCTAATCTATATTTGGTGACATATCTTTTTCTCCATTTTGGTAGCTCCAACAGTGCTGCCGTTATCTCCGATAAGAGCTCCTACTACGGTGGGAAGTCTGGCAGGAAGTCCTCCACTTCCGGTAGCTAATTCTCCAATACAAGGAAACTCTGTTTCCTCCGTTGTGATGCCGGCCTTTGTTGCCGCTCTTGCTGGTGCTGCTGCATTTTTTGTGTTGTTATTTTGAGTTGGGAATGAACTACTAATGTTAGTTATCACAAGGAATTTGTAAAACAAACAAGCTTCAGTAGTGCATTGGATTCTGAAACAGGTTTGAGGCTGGGTTCTGGGCGGGTTTTACATGGTCTGCGGGTTTGGCGTTAACCGGCCCGATATTACAAGCGGGTCGCCTATTTCTGGGTCGACCCACCCGGAGTGGTTCTGGTCTGCTAACATAGTTTTGAGGGTTCACTTTATGTTGTGAACAACTTTTTGTTGTGTTAAATTTTTGTTTTGTTACTGCCATTTTATTATGGGTAGTCCACCAAGAGGCAAGATATATACTTTTGTACAATTAAGGGTCTATTTGCAAATGCTTAAAAAAGCGTTTCTTGGCATTTTGCTTAAAGGAGCAAAAATCAGTGTTTTTCAAGTGTCAATTTCTACTTAAATTAAACACTTGAAAGCTAAAAGTTGAAAACTGCGTTTTAGTTTTTCTATTACACAAAAAGCATATATTTAATCAAATACTATCAATTTTTATTTATCAAAATCATTTTTTTCTCAAACACTGTCAACTTTTATTATTATTTTTGAAAGAAAATCACTCATTTATTTATAATAATGAAAATAAACATAGACAAAGCAGAGCAATAGCTCAAACCAATCCTGGAGTTAGACATAGAACTGACTAACCCCGGAGGGCCATGCCAGATCGCTATCTCCGCACAATAGTAGGCTATTCTATCAACATCTCTGTACTTACTATTAAGACGGAAATATAAAAAATTGGAGTTCTAAAAAGAAACAAAAGAATCACAAGTCTTGGTTTAACCAGCCACCAGCAAGGGCGAAGAGGTTTTATTAGCCACCTCCAAAGATGTCATTCCGATTTTACCAGTCATGAGGAAGGGGAGAAGAGGTTTGTCAAGTCACCTCCAAATGAAGCACCCCGCTCACAAGATCTAAAAGAATTTCAGGCGGTGCTAATCTTGTAGCATCGCCGCAAAGCTGTTTTTTGGTCTAGTTCCATCAACCAAATTATCACCTTTATTCACTACCTTGCACGCTGATTTCCTTCGCGAGCCTCACTCCATCAAGAACGATCGATTGAGTTGTCTCCTTCAGGGTTGGCGGCGGGTTTTAGTGCTAAGGTTTTAGTGCACACGATAGATACTCTTGCTAACTTTTATTATTAAGCACTTTTTCTAAAATCACTTCAAAATGTCACTTTTTTAAAGCAGAAGTAATTGCAAACACTCCCTAACTTGTTCAAGTTTTTTAGTTCACATCTAAAACATTTATCTCCACACTAATAAAATTTAGCCTATATAATTATTGCCTTGTAAAAGTTATGAAAATTTTATCTTTAATTTCAACATAAAAAATTATTGGAATGAATAAGAAAATCTTGTTGGTATGAACAAAAATCTTATTAAGTGTACTTCACAAAATGATTGTTCACATTCACCGATAGAGTATATGGGCACAGATCCCATGACCCACATACTCAAAAAACTAATAAGAGGACAACTGACACCCACATGGTCCTCCATCAGACAAGACCCACCAGATCACAGAAAGCAACTCAAAAGCCTTGGAGCAGACTTGGTTTCCCTTAGAGGCCTTATCTTGTATCGTGCCTCCGAGGCCCAAGTCCTGGGAGCTCAACCCACATTTCTTTTATAATTACTCCCATAGGGGTAGTTGTAGGGGGTTGAGAAATATTAATTATTGACACTTTCTCTCTCTAGCTCTCACTTTTCTCTATAACTATGCTCTATCATTTGGTGCTTTCATTGAGAGCTAGAACAATCAATTTAGTACCCTTCGTCACTACCAGACACTACTAACTGAAATGGGAAAGGCAAGATCAAACAGGAACCTCGTTGGTAAGACTTTCCACGACCCTCGCGAACACCAAGAGAGGTCGGGCGACGCGACGGCTGACAAGGTAGCCAAGGAAGAGGTCTTTCAGGAGACCATCGACCCCCGCAACTGACCTTCATAACCATCTCAACGCCAACGCTCAGGACGCCCACATTGGGCTCGAAGAAAAGCTCAAGGAGAAAGGTGGTCGTGCTTCAGCTCAACAGGTTATTCCCTCTGTGGACCCCCAAGTTCAGGCGGCTCTCTCGACGATCATCGTCAGCCTCTCCAAAACCCACGGTCCTGAGTGCTCTCATGCCCAAAACAGGGGAGAACATGACACCACCTCCTCCACCTCCTCCAATTGTCACCTTCATCGGCATCGCCACCCAAGACACGGTTTTGCACAGCGCCTCTCCTCTCCGAGTGGGCCGGCCCCCATGCGTGGTAAGACCTTGGCCTTCAATAGGCTAGGCGACATTGTCGGCCTATATCAGATAGGATGGCAGGACTGTGACACTCCGAATTTTTTTTAAATTAAATAAATAATTTTTATTAGTCAGATAAAATGTTAAGAAAGTGACATTCTAATAATTAAGTGAATTAGATAAACTTTTAACAACGGAGATATTTTTAATCAGATAAAAATGTTTCAATAATAAAAGTGACATCTTTATAATAATATGTTAATCAAATAGGACGTTGAGTTCAATAACAAAAGTGACACTTAACAAATTCACAAACGCTGTGAATTAATGTATACAAAATATACTAGGCCTTTTGGCCTAGATATTACTAAACAAGACAAAAGACAAAAATGTGACATCTTTTTCAAAATTCCAAAAATGTGACCTAACATCACAATTAACCATGCGGTGCAAAATTGTCACGCCCCAGACCTAGCCGGACACGTCAACAACCCGCCGTACAGTACGAATAGTCAACCGCAGTCCAACTCATCCATACTATACAAGGCGTCATGAATATCATTCACACATAGTACATCCATAAACAAACATAATGTAAAACATTCATTTAAAACAGCGGAAGCATTAATACAATTGTTCAGGCCACACTTGGCATAACTAGGCATACAAGCCCCCCAAGTAATTATTCAAAAATAATATCCATGAGCATTAACGTGATTGTTTTTAAAACAGACGGAAGAAGCACGAACCACGTCTTCTCCCCCTTGATCCTCCCGAAGCCACAAGCGATAGTAGCAACCTTCAAGTTCTACCTGAAACTGTGAGGTGGCCTCCCCCGTGAAGGGGAGGTCAGTACTTGGAAATATTTGACAAGTACAATAGCAACTATACTAAGTATAATCAACGTTTTAATTTCCCAGACCCTCAACTTAGGGTACTATTATATTATAGGCCATAACCCCCGGTTACCCCTTTTTCTTTTAACTGTACTTACTTTATATAAAGTCAAGTAGTCGGCCCGGAGGCCCATATGCATTTAGAATTCATCGTTTCCATTCCCCCGTGACCGCAAGTCACAATAACCCCGTGGGGTCCCATCGAGCCCCAATTGTATAGCATGGGCTCGGCCCAACTACATCTCTATACAATCCTCTAACTCATTATATCATATCAAAATTTGTATGGCAAGGGCTCAGCCCAACTACGTTTCCATACCAACCATAACTTCGTGGCAAGGGCTCGGCCCTACTACGTCTCCACGGAGGTCACATATACATGGTAAGGGCTCGGCCCAACTACGTTTCCATGCTAATCATACTACATGGCATGGGCTCGGCCCAACTACATCTCCATGTCATCCTAGAGTCCAACTCTAATTATTTTCATAACCCAATTCTCAAGCAAATCCTATGCCTAGAATCAATTTCCTTGGGTAGCCTTAGGCCTACCCCTATCACACCTTAGTGTTCATATAATCCAACCTTAAAGTATCTCTTAAGACTACTTAAGGCATACTCATTTTCAAGTTCTTAGAACCGCCAAGTTCTTACGTCATAACAAATTAATTCATCCCGATTGATTTTCCAATCCAAATATAATTTAATCCAAATATCAAAACTATCACTTTTAACCATTCATGGATTTCATACATGAAGTAAAAGTATGTTTTATCACAATGTCATCATGATAATTTCATTAACATGCCGTTCCATTCATTTCACATAACCATACATAATCGTTCTCAATTTGTATATCATGCTTCACTCACTCATATCAATATTATTTTCATTTAGGCATTATTAATCATTAATAATCCATGAAAAATCCCATCTAAATACTTTAGGCAATCTTATGAAATTAACCCACTAATTATAAGCAATATAGTCAGCCATCCTCACCTTATGATGTGCTCAACTAGCTGCCTTAGCGAAACCCCCATTCTTCTTCTTCTTCTTCTTCTTCTTCTTCTTCTTCTTTAATTCTTTTTTTTTTCCACGTTTATGCACATCGATACTGGCTAGCTCTAAGTGCTTGTGTACACAGAAGAAAATTGCATATGTATAGACACTTTTGTTTAATTATGCACATCAGGGTTTAATGCACCCCCCCCCCCCCCCCCCGTGATATGAAAATTCGACGCATTAGTCCCGTGTGATTTAAAAAATGCGTCAAATCCCCTTGTGTTTTAATCAATTATGCGCAAAATTCCTTCTATGGACAAATTCTATTGTCAAATAAAAGAAAAAGGAAAAATTGAAAATAAAAATCCCAACTATTGCCGGTCCGCTAACAATAATCCCAATTATTGATTATTTCTGTATAATCTCAACTATATAGACCGTCCGCCAATAATGGTCCATGACTAGATATTACCTCCTATAACAAGTTAATTTTAAATAGAAATTAAGTGTAAAAATTAAAAGTTGGGATTATTTATAGGAATTATTTGCTATATCTCTTCTCATCCACTTCAGAATTTATTTATAACCGGTCACATCAGACCATCATTGACGTAAGGTACATAAAGTTGGGATTATTCTGAAATAAACGATAGCTCGGATTATTATGAGCGGACCGTCAATAGTTGAGATTATTACTATCAATTTTTTCAAAGAAAAATGATTAACATTTTTGTATGATTGAGAGATTTTGACATATTTACTTGCATATTCAATCAGAATATTAGGAAAAGTGATTTACAATTTGTTAAATTTATTCATAAAAGGGTTCTGTGCATGATTAATTAAAACACTAGGGGTTGTGACGGATTTTTCAAATAACAGAGGCTAATGTGCTGCATTTCTATATCACGAGGGGGTTTAGTGCATTAAACTTCTTTAATTACATATATCATATATGTGTCCCTCCAACTTTTAGTTTTCAAAATTAATTTTTTTTGAAAGGTTGTTTTCAAAATTAATTTTTTTGAAAGGTTGTTTCCAAAATTAATATATAGCCTTACATAATGTAATAGTACATACTTAATTGGAGATTAAAAGAAGAAACATCTAAAATAATTTACATAACTTGAATAAATAAAGAACAGAATAACTCATTGTTTAATACTTAGGATACTTATTATATAAAGATTTCTAGTTTTGTAATGTTTAACTATCTTTATTAGATAATTAGTACTCAATTTTGTAAAATATCAAACGATAATATTAAATATCAGACACAGATTTTTTTTTAAATCATGTGAAGTGAAACCAAAATATAAATGTTTGTTGAAACTTAACATTAAATATATTACACAAGCGATTTACTTCTTACTTTCTAAAAATACTTTATTGCATCTTCCAAAAAAATTATTCCATAATATGCACCATATATAAGAATCTGCAATATAATATTATATTATTCTGTAAATAATAATCTCATACATATTATTGTAATATTAAGAAAACTTCATGTGACTCGTGAACACCCTCCTTAGTAGACAAAAATTGCAATTCAAAATTCAATTCTTTATTCCAATAAGATTCATGTGGTTAAACAAACTAGAAGTTATTTAAAAAGTATTGATGGATGTATACCTTTTAAAGTTTTTGAATTCAAGTAATTGGATAAAATTTATCTATCCTCTTTTATTTTCAAGTAATTTCCCATTAATTTGCTATTTCTTACGCTTTAATGTATTAATACCTTTTTCTAGAGCATTTCATTTATAAAATCAAAGTTATTTTTCCATTGTCTAAACTTAGAATGCATTAGATTTAATTGTCGTCATGTATTTATATAAAAAATGTTGTCATGTGTGTTTTAATGCAATTTTGTGAATAAAATTATATTCCTGTAGAGCCTACACTGGCGAACAAATTTCGCTCCGCTACACTAGCGAAAAAATCACCCCTAGACTCAAAATTCTGGATTCGGCCCTGACTTGAAATGTTGAAGTTCAAAAGTTATTCAATATTCACATAACTTGAATTACTCAGTTAAAATGTGGTGCTATATATAATATTAGTTACTTGATTTTACTCGTATACTGTTAGTTACTGAGTTAGTGAGTTTTACTTAGGGTTGGTTCGGTACGGTATGTAACCCATACCGTTTTATACCGAAAATTCAAAAAAAAATAAATTTTTTGGCAATTCCGTATAAAGTATTAGCTTAAGGGGCCTACCGAACATCCAAAAAAACTGATTTTAACGAGTCAAAAGTAGCATACGACATCAGTACATAAACTGATACCAAAACTAACACAAAATATTTAATCCAAAGTAGAAAATACTAAAATTATGTGCTAATATCTCAAGTCTCAACACAATCCATAATGAAATTAGAATATTTATCCAACATAAATCAATGATAACTAATGTTTGTAATAACAAATCTTTGAATCATTGTTGCAGCTCCGTATAAATAAGAGATTTTTCTACTTTGGTAATATGATGGACGTTCGCCGTATAAATATTTTATCAATATACTTCATCATTTGTTTATAAATATAGAATGAGCATAGACCAGATTGTTCATATTACCAGGATGGTTAAGCTTTAGCAAATAATGACGGTCGTCCGCTAGTCCGTGCTTCGTCAATGGCGTCTTCGTCACTCGTCTGCATCTCCATCGTCAATGCTCAATAGTCCACAACTCTGTCACTCGTTGAAGAGAAGAGAAGCTGCTTGACTCTACGTTGCTTTATTTGGGGAGAATTTGACTTTGCACCCCATATTTTGGGTGATATTTGAGTTTGCACCCTATTTTCAAAATCATTAATGTATGCACCCCAATTCACTATAAAATTATTTGACTTTGCACCCCACTCCTTCACAATTTTTGGGCTAATGGGGTGCATACATTAATGATTTTAAAAATGGGGTGCAAAGTCAAATATCACCCAAAACATGGGGTGCAAACTCAAATTCTCTCATTTATTTGATTAGGGATTTAGGCCTCTACTTGAGAGAACTAGAGAAGGGCCGTAGTATTATAAGATGGGTTATTTTAATTTTGGGCCTTGGTATTTTAATAATTTCATTTAATGGGTTTGGCCCTAAAAATTTACAAATTCTATTTCGGTATATCGGTATTTCGGTATATACCGTACCATACCGAAAATTAACGGTATTTCGGTATATACCGAAATACCGAAAATTTAAAAAATCTATACCTTTACCGTACCGAAGTGACCCGGTATGGTATCATACCGTACCGAACTTTTCGGTATACCGAAAATTTCGGTAAATTCGGTATTTTTCGGTATGGTATGGCCGGTATACCGAAATTTCGATATATTTTCCCACCCCTACTTTTACTATGATGAAGTGATATTTCTGATAAATATAAATACATACTCCATTTGTTTCTAAATAAAGATCTCACGTTTTAGCCGTCTCAAAATGTAGTGCTATAATACCAAAGTCCCTATTTTTTCAAACTCATAGTCTCATACACGTAATTCTTAAACTTGTGTGAAACTTCTACATATTAATCCTACTCAAATTTAGATCTTGATATTGAGTATATATTGAATTTGGCAAAACTTAAATTGTAAAAAACAGTAATAAATAAAGGAAAAGCATACAGAGTATGAAAAATAATTAAAATCATTCTCTATAGAAATTTTAGCCAATTTAGTCTTAAGAGAAATGCCAATCTAAAACAACCAAAATGGACTTAAAACCGCGGGTTGGCCATATTCATCACATTTAATGGTGAGTTAGGGTCGTCATTTTCGGAGCTGGTTAAATCACGGGTTTTTATGAGTCAACTCGCATTATTGTAAGTTAACTAGATGGGTTGGTCCGCAAGTCAATACATAAACATATAATTTTGATTTAGATGATCTTTTATACTTCCTCCGTTCTTAAATAAATGCAACAATGAACACTTCACACTTGCCGAGACACAACTTTGACCATTAATATAAATGATTTTGTATTAGTAAAAAAACTAAAAAAATAGATTATGAAAATTTACAATGAAACAAGTTTAGATGATCTTTTATACTTCCTCCGTTCTAAAATAAATGCAACAGTCAACATATCACACTTGACAATATTTTTATCATAAAATAATATTATTACATTAATAAATAAAACGTAGTCAAAGTAGAACATGTGAATAGTGTAAAAGTCAAAGTGTTACATTTATTTAAGAACGGAGGTAGTATATCAAAGTTGATCTTTTATTATCAAAATTGATCTATTTGCAATCAGATATTACGTACTTATTATTTTACAACTGTGCAAAATTATTGTTTCTATAATAATATTCAGAACAACTGTTCAAGAACATCTTTGTGTTATAGTTGAATATTTTTTGGAAAAGTCATGATTTGTAAATATTTATTGAAAAAAATATTAATTGAGAAGGCTTAGGTACATAATTAATTTTGTACAATGAATGATACATCTTTAATTCATGTTTTTACTAACAAAATTAATCTTTAATTTGCACATAAAAAATTATTTGTATGAATACATTAAGATATTGTTAATAACAAAAATCTTATTGTATGAATGTACCTTACAAATTGATTGTTCATGTCAGTCTCCATGTTCATAACCTAATACTCCACCGTCCCTTAAAATTTTGTCAACTTTCTATTTTTCCTTGTCCCGTTAACTTTGTCATTTTCCCTTTTAAATAAAGAATTTATGGTTTCAGTTGATTCTCTATCGTATGCACAAATCACAATCATACAAATTTTACTTTATGAATCCCCGTGCCGATCAAACTTGTCAAAGTTTTAAGGACCAAGAGAGTATGAAAACTCTACAACCATTTTAACACAATAAAACGGATGAAAAGCGAGTAATAAAGAGTACATTAATGAGAGAAATTTTAAATCTAAATAAAATTCTAAACAAATAAAGTAGAAATGAGCTACCAATATTTTATCAAGGGAAAATTTTAGAAAAAGTACTTGTGATTTGAGCCGTTTTCAGACAAGGGCACATGTTTCATTTTTAACAAAGTGGGACATGTGTTTCAATACTGTTATCACAGCTGGGGCATGATGCATAACGCCGTTAGAAAAGTTAACTCCGATTTTCAAAAGTTTTCACAAAATCAAAAGAAAAATACTAAGCGGTGCATCCCGACAAGGAGACCAACAAACTATCGTTCTCTTTGGATTTTTCGGCTCTATTTAGATTTTTTTAAAAAAGAATTCACTAATATCACTTTCCGACGGATTTTCTGGCGACAGGGTGGCTGAAAACAAAAAAAAGATGGTCTGGAGGTCTTCTTGACGAGGCACACCTCCTAAATTTTTCTTTTAAATTTTCGGAGACTTTTGAAAACCGGGGTTAATTTTTCTAACGTCTTTTGATGCCATGTTCCAACTGTAATAATAGAATTGAAACACATGTCTCACTTTGTTAAAAAATGAAAATGTGCCCCTATCTGAAAATGTTTTAAACCACATGTACCTTTTCTGTACTTTTTCAACAACACACTTGACGGTCCCTTCTGACCTACATATACGTCCAACGTATCTCACTGTATACATACTTTGTGCATGGTATACACATACTTTGTGTATACATATTGTGTACACTCCTAGTTGAGTACACATATTGCCTTGGTGCACACATAATTTGTATACATATTGTGTACACCCCTAATTATCTATCTCCAAGGCAGCTTACGACCAAATTGCCTATGTGGACAACAACTAGTGGGTGTACACAATATGTGTAAAAAGTATGTGTACCATCAACATTTTTGTTTCTGAATGAATTACATGTTTCACTAAACATGTAATTTTTTATTTCACACGCTTGATTGTTTAATAATAAAAATATGCAAGATTAGAGTTATTTTTCTAGCTGAATTGTCTGTAGTTGCTGTCAGGGCCGGCCCAGGGGAGGGAGATCCAGTGCCACTGCACAGGGCCTCTAAATTATGAGTATGAGGACCCCCCCAAAAAAATAGTATTAGTATTAGGTAATCCAGCAGCCCAAGTCCAAAATAAACCCAAAAGCCCACAACCTCCTGAATCCTGAGATAAGTCGGACAACAAAAAGGGGGCGCAACAAAAAACCTTCGGGCTTCGGCAATTCATCCAAAATTCGCAGGTTGCGTCGAGCACTCGAGCCGTTCATTCATCGCTCATCGGCCATCGCAATTCGCAGCAGGCCAGCAGTCCAGGTCTCCGGGCGACGGGTCGACGGCCGTCCAGCAGTCCAGGCGTCCAGCTGCAGAACAACACCTCCGCAGGCGTCCAGTCCAGTCCCTTCAGGCCTTCACTCCCTTCAGACTTCAGTCCACTCCTTTGGCCTTTGCAGTTTGCAGGTAAGTTTTACTTTTATAGTTTTATACTTCTATAGTTCTATTAGATTGTTTTAATTGTTTTTCTTATATGTTTGATTGTTTGGGACTTTGGATTATTAGTAATTTAGTAGAACTGTAGAGTGGATTAATAGGTATTGTGGCTGTTGCTTAATGTTTTTTATTTTGTGTAATTAATTGATGAATTAATGACATCATTTATGTTTAATAATTTGATGTAAATGTTAAAATATGTTATTTCTTAATTCTTATTGCTTTTTTGGTGGTGGGTTAAAGTTATTAAGTAAAAATTAAATTAAATTTTAACTTCAATTTATAAACTTTTACATGATTTTAGGAATTATGATTTTAAGTATTGTGGCTGTTGTTTAATGTTTTTTATTTTGTGTAATTTATTACTATTATCATTATTAAAGTTTTATTTTTTTTAGTGTCGGAAAGAAAAGGCCCATTTTTTTTTTCGTCGCACCGGGTCTCTAGTCTTCCAGGACCGGCCCTGGTTGCTGTATGTGATCATTGTCTATTTTTCATTTATTTTTTTGATTATCTTACTAAAAATATGATTTAAATATAATATTCCATAACTCAGTAGATTCAGTGGATTAAGCTAATTTCAATTTTATCAAAAGACTCTATATTTTGTACCTTCTTCCATTATATGAACTCTCAAATTTACTTGTTTTTTATAAAACGCTATGGGTGACACATCATTTTTGGTACGGTATCAATTTGGTTGGATTGGAACAAAATAGAAGAATTATTAATCAACAAAAATCATAGGAGTACTATTTTTCGCTTTGCTTCATTTTGGATTTGTTTATTTTTAATAACATATAGGGTATGTTTGGCACAACTAGGTGAAAAAATACTTTTATAAGTTTTTTAGTAACCGTTAGCTTTTAGTGATTGAAAAAGATATTAGAAGAAAAAGGTGGTAGCTGTTTGATAAAAAACTGGCTGTTTGATTTAGTTCTGTTTGGTATACATGATGTTAAGACTAATTAATACTAAAAATCACAGACTTTTCTCAGATGCTACTTCCTGTAACATAGACTATGTTTGGCAAGTCTTCTAGCTTTTGTACTATTTAAAAAGTCTTTAAAAGCTTTTGGTTGTATGTTTGAAATGACAAGTTTTAAGAGCTTTTATAAAAATAAAAGATCTTTTTTGAGATGCTACAGTGAGTAGCATCTCATATAAGTCCGTAGCATCTAGCATTGATTAGTCCTAACAGCTTGTATACCAAATAAAACTAAATGAAACAGTCAGCTTTTTACCAAACAGCTACTACCTCTTCTTTTTAAAATCTTTTCAGTCACTAAAAGCTAACAGTTACTAAAAAGCTCATAAAAGTATCTTTTCAGTTAGGTGTGCCAAACATATCCATACTATGTATCAAAAAAGATCTTTTTTTTTTAAAAGCTCTTAAAACTTGTCATGTCAAATATATAACTAGAAACTTTTAGAGATTTTTTAAATAGTACCAAAATTAGAAGACAGAGACTTATGCCCGGCAAATATGCATATAATAGCTTTATTAAATTTCTTTATTCTTGATCAGGTTTTTCAATTTATCTCAATTTTGGGTTGTTTTAATATGATTTGAAATAAAACGCCGTCGTTCCTTAGATTTAGATCCAAACTCGCTCGACGTTCAGCAGTTCCGAGCCAGACTACTTCTCAGAGTCACCGCCTACAGCCCTAGCACAGTAGTTGCTCGTAGAGTCGCTGCTCGCTCTACACAGTCCTCCTCCTCCTCCACCTCGCTAGTTCAGTCGCCGTCGTCCGCCGTCGCAGCAGCCTCCAGCCTCGCAAGTTCCCATCCGAATCGCTCCAGCCTCCAGCCTCCAGCCTCCAGCCTCGCGAGTTCCAATCTTTCCACTCGGCAGTCAAGGCCAGCCCTCCAGAATCTACGGCTAATTGATCCACTTGTCCACCAGGCACTAGTCCTGCGCCCCCCCACGCCTCCACAGCAGTACAGCTCCACTTCTGGTTAGCCTTCCCCCACATAAATTACAAGTTTACAACCCAATTTATTTCTAAACCTAATCTGAAATTCACATATTCATTTCCCAATTCATACCGCTTGCCTTGCGGTTAAATGTGGATTGAAATGAGAAACGATTGAGAGATACGTCATACGTTGTATGGTTTAATGGATTGACTAGATTTTAATATTCTACACAAATTGAATGTCTTAATGTCGGCAATATAATTTTGCTCAATATTTTGTTCATTGTATTGAATATTGATGTTTTGCTTAACGTTTGCTTAATTTATGACTATTAGTAATGAATACACTTCAGATTATTTTCAGAAAAAACATTATTTTGTGGTTGTACTAATTTTATTCTACTTTATTTAGTAATACGGAGTATATTTTGTCTTACTTTGCGTTCAATGTAGTAATTTTTTGTTGACAAATATACATTTGTAGAATGATTTCATCACACAATATTTTTTTCTTAATTATGCTGTAAAGTAATTTCGAACACCCCTAATGCAAGTGCTAGATCCACTACTTGGGACAGTGCCGTCACGGAGGGGATATTTTATTCAGTTTTTTTTTCTTTCTGGATGTACTTTATCAAACAGTCTGCCCCGATATTTTTATTTTCTGGATTGGCTCCTCAGAAGTATTGATGTTTTATATATGTTCCACTCCCTCCATCCCTTATAACTGTGCCATGCTTGACTTACACGGGGAATTGTAGAGGAGAGAGAAAAGATAGGAACCTCAAATTAATTGATTAAAAAAGAAAGTGTCAATGTTTTTAAGACAACCAAAAAAGGAAAAATGACAAAGTTATAAGGGACAGAGGGAGTAAAAAGTTCCAAACCTAAAAGACCACTCTACATATAAATCAATTAGCCCTATATTTAAAAATGTTTAATCTCTGTACAGGACTTATTTATGGTTTTCTGATAAGTATTTGCTTGGTTCTAATTATTTATTTTATTTTTGAAATCTTATATATGCTTTTATTTATAACAGAGTTGCTCTCTGGTAGTTTTATCTGTAGCTTCATCAGTTTTTCTATTAAGATTATCTGTAAGTCTATAACTTTAGAATATCCGAGTTTTAATTGTTTTATAGTTTCTATACTCTTTTCCATCATTTGCAATGGAGCCAAAGATTCATTATTTTTTGGCTTGAGATTATGATGGAATAAAGCAAAATGGCTCACTAAACTGTCTGCGCTTCTTTGTTATGAAGCAGTCTCTCTGTGCTTTAGTACAGGGGTAAGACTGCGTACATCCGACCCCCCTACCCCACCGTAGGTGGGAGACTTTGCGGCATTGGGGTAAATGAAAATGAAATGATAGTTTCTATACTCTATAACACTAAGAAGTCTGTTTCATTTTCATTAGTTATTTATTTATTTATATCCAGGTTTAAATTTTGCTGTTTTTAGCATTCGTGGTTTTCTTTGCTCTTATTTTTAGCAACATTTTATTGTAATTGTTTGCTTTGGCTCAAGGTTCTTCTTCAAATAGGGGTTCAGGATACCATGATATTATATTGAACTTATATTATACTCCGTATAAAATAAGAAGAAAGCAAATATGAAAATCAAATTTGGTAGCAAAATATAGTGGATAATAATAGAGAGAATTCCCTAAATAGGAGTAAAAAAGTTTTGAAATTCCAAAATAGGACTATCATGTTTTTTATTCCCTGAATAGGAGTAAATTTCTGCCAAGTTTGGCATTACTAGGCTTTAAACATGGCATTTTTTTTCCAAACTTGGCAGAATTACTCCTATTTAGGGAATAAAAACATGAAAGTCCTATTTTGGAATTTCAAAACGTTTTTGCTCCTATTTAGGGCAATTTCTAATAATTATATAATCCATACAGTTTTATGTATACAACAACATCAAAGCCTAAATCATAAAAGAGTTTGGGGTCGGCATCCATACAGTTATATGTATTAGTATATAATTAAAACTTATTGCGTTACATTACTCAACCTTGCACACATGCTCGTATTATTAAACGGGAGTGTTTTTTAAAAGAACTTTTACAATATATTTTTTAGAATCTTCGTTTGAGTTTACACATTCTTTCTCATGAATGTGTTTCAGATCATAACCAGCTTCAATGTCGGCATTTGGCACAACTACAGTGAATACAAATCCTAATAAGTCCACTGAGGTATAGAGTTTTGGCTGTAATTCTGTAAGTATAATGAAGTACTTTAGTGCTACCTCTCTCCCCAATGATCAGTTCTCATTGATATGCTATGTTTCTGCACTTGTTAACTTGTGGGGTTTGGTGAATGAAGGTTGCGCAACCTCCCGGTGACTCAGTATCAAGCCTCTCTTTTAGCCCAAAGGCAAACTTCTTGGTGGCTACATCATGGGACAATCAGGTTCATTTTGTTTTCTCTGTTAAGAAAATTATTTTTACCTTTAATGTCTATTTGTTGCCCCCCTCCAACATTCTCATGACACACATAAAGTGGTGCTGCATGGCTACTTAATTTTGTAACTTTTGTTGCATTTCCATCCTCTGAAGAGCTGATGATGTATGTAGGTTATAGTTAATATGGAGTTTATATGAGAATATTATTAACCTGTTCAATTCTCATAATACCTTAAAAATCTGGTATAACTCATATTTCAGAATGTTCTCACTTGTCAGGCTGCTAGCTGGATGTAGAAATTTGTTAGCTATTAATGATAGACTTAGTTTCCCTTTTTCTTGTGCAACCCTTAAACCTGCATTCATCCCCATGCCCATATGTGATGTGAGAACTAATTTGTTTGCCATTCCTTTTTAGGTACGTTGTTGGGAAGTAATGCAAAGTGGCATGAATATTGGAACAACACCCAAAGCGTCCATATCACATGACCAACCGGTAATATCAATTGTCACATAATTCTTAAAAATGTTATGTTGTTTCTTTTTATATTACATTGTGGTTAATTGATATTTTTATTTAAAACTTGGAAGGTTTTATGCTCCGCATGGAAAGATGATGGTTCAACAGTATTTTCTGGAGGCTGTGACAAGCAAGTAAAGATGTGGCCACTTGGAGGTAATCAACCCGTAACTGTTGCCATGCATGATGCTCCTGTGAAAGAGATTGCTTGGATTCCTGAAATGAGCCTCTTAGTCTCAGGAAGCTGGGATAAAACCTTGAGGTTAGTAATGACCTTCTCTTTTAGTTTATCTTTACATTTAGTGATTTGAAGGGGCTGAAAAAACATATAAGTGATTTTTGGGATTCAACTGACTTACCAATTATAATTTGAAACTTAGAAGACAACTTTTTCTGGGAATTGTTTTTTGTAATTTGTTTTTGTCCTTAGACTTGTAGTGTTCTCCATATGTTATTTATCTAATCCCTCAAACAAACCTCTGTTCTTCATGATTCTGATGTATTAGTAAAATGTTCCTATTATTGTACGATTGATTAGATATTGCAGTATATCAAATATGGTGCTAACAATTTGGTCTTAGCACAAGGTATATAGGCTACCCATTTCTGTAGGTTTCTGTGTGCTGCAGCATTTTACCCTGTCATTTTTGTTGAAAATGTATTCCGTTGACACACATGCATTATCGAGTTGCTTTACATAGTTGATTTAGGAGTGGTAATCTATGTTTTATAATCATCCTCATCAGGTACTGGGATCTAAGGCAGCAAAATCCAGCTCATGTCCAACAACTTCCCGAACGCTGTTATGCACTTACAGTAAAACATCCTCTAATGGTTGCGGCAACTGCTGACAGAAATCTTATAGTTTTTAATTTGCAAAGTCCTCAGGTATTTTTTTTCTATGCAATAATTGACAATATTAGATCGTGGATGTATTAAATAGTCAAAATTATTTGTTACTGGCTACTCATAATTCATAAAAGAGGGAGACTGCAATATTATTAGGTAATACTGAAATAGTGAAATCTATGTTAAACTAAAAAATCAATCCGTGATGAAATTGATTGTCAGGTTGACACTGCTCAATTGTAATCCTCTATTCTTGCACATGATTATTTATGTATTTTTTATTCTTTCCCCATTAGAAATTAATTTGGTGTACAAGACACTCTGAATTGATGGCATTCCTCATTTGTTGAACCATGAGGGTATGAGGCAATATCAGCTGCAATGTTTTCACATTATGTCCAGTTCTTCCTAGACACGCCACTTAGGAGTTACTAAAATTCGATATGATTTGCTAACCTTCTGTTTTATATCCAATTTGTTCGATGGATACAATTAATTAATGACATAAAACCATTAATATTACAGACAGAGTTCAAGAGGATCATGTCACCACTGAAGTACCAGACAAGGTGCTTGGCTGCCTTTCCTGATAAACAAGGCTTCCTGGTGAGTTTTAACACAGTATTTTGTAGTTAAGCCGCTTAAAATGCAGTGATTAAGAATGCACCTTGGATTTGATGTGTGTGAATAATTTCTACATTCTATCCTAAATAGCTAACTACTATGAGTGCTGTTTATTATAACAATTTGTTTTGTGTAATTTAGGTGGGCTCAATTGAAGGAAGGGTTGGAGTGCACCACATTGACGATGCACAGCACAACAAAAACTTCACTTTCAAATGCCACAGGGAGAACACTGATATTTACTCCGTCAACTCTCTGAATTTCCACCCAGTAAGGCATTTATAATGATCTTTGTTTCTTCACTTTCCAGGTGCCTAGTACATATATGTTGTTACTTTTTCAGTTTCTTGGTGAAGTGAACATCTTTTGTAAATTTTTCATTCAATTGAAAATGAAATCTTTTGTTGTGATTAACCTTCTGAGTACTTGGAGAAAAATATGCTATTTATATAATACGTCTTTTTTGTGTATCTAATATTTACTGATATTTAAGTAAAATGACTGATATTTACTGTGGTACATGGTAATGCCTTTCGCTACATTCATTTCATACTCCCTCTGTCTCAAAGTATATGATGCATTTACTTTTGCATGCACTTTCATGAAAAAAATAAACCTGATGTGTCACATTGGCACATTCTTAAGTTATCCCTCAAATAGGGTACTTAGTCAAATCATTTTAAGAGATTATAATATATATACAGATGAACTGATTTTTTTTGTGATTGAAGATAGCATGAAAAAGTAAAACAAGACAGAATGCCTGTACCTTATTTATGCATTTGGTTACTAGCTGTGTTATCTACTCGATGAGTACTAGCTGCTTTCCATTTAGCTACCCGACTTGGCCCGTCCTGTTTTTCCGAGTTACTCGCCGAATACTTGGCTCGGCGAGTTACTTGGCCACCCATGTTTTTTTTGGGTTGATTCTGATTTTCTAATTAACGTGGGATATTATGGAATTTGTAAATAATGAGTGGGTATTTTAAAAATTGGAAATCCTTCCAAAGGCTATGGACATGGAGGATGAAGAAGAAAATGACGACCGATGGTACTATGGATCGTACGCTAGGTAGGCGAACCACCACGAAGTCTGCCTCCACCGTGCGCACACATGGCTCCGAACCGAGCTGGACCGTAAGGGTTATTATTCCTTCTGGATCATCAAAGCTATCGTAATTAGCTCTTGCAGTTGGAGTTATACTCCATCAACAACCTTAAGTCTTGAACCCAATGAAGATTAATAATGGACCAAATTATTAGATGATTGATTTTCTTGAAAACTTAGAATGTTATTTTACTTTTGCTACTTCATCATTAGGATTATTATCATTTTATTCACATCTAAGAATTGTAAGACTAATATATTATGTAGTACTATAATTTTAGGCATCTATATTTTTAAATTTAATTAATATATGGCCGAGTAATTACAGAGTAGTGCCGAGTACTTGGTCCTACTCGCTACTCAGCCCTTGATTGAGTTGCTACAGAGTAGCAATTTAACTACTTAGGTTACTAGTTTAAAGTATGATCAGTATCACAATAAAGTATTCCAGCTATTGTGCCTAATTACTTTTTGAACCTGTTTTAAAATGTCATGTGCCTTAATGTTGTTCTTTGACTTGTTATTTTTAATTTTTGTTTTTTCTCTTATCCTAAAACATCTGTAAGCTGTATTTGATTTTCCATAAATTCTTATGACTCTTCTTAATTCACCATTTTGTTTTTTTAAAATCTTCAAACGAATTGATCCAATTATTATACAAGTTTGACCTTTCTCTATTGCAGGTACATGGCACTTTTGCTACTGCTGGGTCTGATGGTGCCTTCAACTTCTGGGACAAAGACAGCAAACAGAGGCTCAAGGTAACTTTTTTTCTTTTAAAGTTTCTAGTCAACTTAAACCTGTAAAGCTTTTGTGTAAGGTATAAAGTTATATAGAAAGGAAATAGGTGATACTGTGGATTAAACTTCTCACCAATGGGCATTTTATTGATGCACGATAAATGTTACGTACCACTTATGGAATTATGGAATCCTTTAAGTGTATTAGACAACTTATTGACTTTCAAGACTCCAAGGATATAATAACTACCTCCGTCCCACTAACATTGGGGCATGAGGGATGGCATGGTTATCAAGAAAAGTGAGTTTATGTGGTAGATATTGAATTGATAAAGAATAAAGTAAAAATGATTTAGAGCCACACAAACTTTACCAAATTTCCCAAAAAGGAAAAATTAGACAATCTTAGTGAGACGGAGGGAGTAGTATATATTATCGTGCAAAACAAGAGTCAGGTTTCTACCCTTGCATAAACCAGAATAGATGCACTGAAGAACAAGGATTGCAATTGTATTAGATTAGAGGCCTAAGGCCTAAAATCATTAAAATCGGGATTTGCCGATTTGATTCTGGGCCAGATTTTCTCAAATTTTACCTCATGTGCCATGTCACCAGTTTTTGGGTCAACTGTGCCGGACCAGTTTATTTTTGGCCTAATGTTAATTGGACATTGTGCATACCAACTGTGGTTAAGTATTTTTATTTTTAGGCAATGCAACGATGCAATCAGCCTATACCGTGCAGCACTTTCAACCACGATGGCTCTTTATATGCATATGCGGTAAATTGCACTCCTCCTTCCTCATTATTATTGTTTCACCCTATTTATCTTTGATGATAATTTTTTAGTGAAGATATCATAAATATATGTTTACTTTGCTCCCCCTAGGTGTGTTATGATTGGAGCAAGGGTGCAGAAAATCATAATCCAGCAACAGCAAAGACTAGCATTTTCTTGCACTTGCCGCAGGTATTATTATATACTACGTACGTTTTTAGTAATATTTAAAACGTTCGAACACATTTGAGTTGCTGAGAACTCTTTCTGACCTCCTTTTTTTATAACAGGAATCTGAGGTCAAAGGGAAACCAAGAACAAGCAACCGGAAATGAAGAGAATTATGTCAAGTGGGATAGAAAACCATTTTAGTCTTTTAGTTGTACATGGACGCATATCTTGATTCTGGATTATGATAGGCATACAGCAAAGAGTTGACCTACAGTTTGTTATCAATGTTTGGACTCATTTTTTTGTGCTGTTGGAAGTGGAAAATGCTAGTCTCTTAAATGACAGGCAGTGTATGAAACGAGCCTTTTTTCTATGGGTACTACTGAAAGTAATTCAAGGCTGGTTGTTGATCTTTTCTGTATCATTCTCATTCCACTTCGCTACTTTTGTTACCGTTTAAGTTTTCACATATGCCTGCAAAGCAAGTGTAGAATATTAGTTCTAATTAATAGGTAGGGATACTCAAACTTATAAGAAGGTATATATATTAGAACCTTAACTAGTGTATCAGTGATCCCAGTTTGGTTCTGTGTTGGAGAGAACCAATGGTTTTAGATCTGGTTGCTATAGCAATTTTAAGCCTTTGTCTTTTCAAGGGAAAAAAATACTAGAATTGGGTAAGAACTCAGAACCAAGCAATCCTAGTTCATTTTGGAGATGGAAGAGATTTCCATGGCTGGTTCTTGTCTTGGGAGTACCTATTGATGGAAGAGTTGCTCTAAGCTATCACATGAAGAGGTGCCGGAGTGAAAACCCCTGGGATTATTGAATGTAAATCTGTGCGTCAGCTGATGCAAAGATGATTAAAGATGGTGGAAGTGTGGAACTATCGACCAACTAAGTTTATCAGTCAAAAGACCGATCTATCTCAGCGCTAAAAAAGGGGGTGTTTGCTATGCATCTGCCCCAGAAGGATATGCCTACTAGGACTCAGCCTGGTTCTGTTTTAGAATTGTCATCACCTTAATGATGAGGACATGTGGCCATGACATGTTGAGTTTTGAGACAAGGGAATTCGAAACCACCACTTTAACAAGAATGTTTATTGGCATCAATTTAGTACCCACGATTGACTGGTTGTTGTTTGAGACTTGAGAGTTGAGAGGTGAATTCAAACGAGTTTTTATCTAGTGACATTTGAATATTATTCAGATTTAAGAATATGAAATGAAATATGGAACATTTAATTAATATCAGAGAAAAAGATGTTACAGCAACAAATGTAGTACATCGGCGCCTTCCAAACCATTCCTGCCATGATGAACTTTCAGCCACCTATTGATATCAAAATTCCTTTCTAATACACCAAATAATAAAAGGAAGAAAAGTAAGTTACATATGCACAAAGATTAAAACAAGAGTATCAATTACACAGTCCTAATTATCATCTTGGGCCAGATAACTCATCAGGCCGGAGATTAGAAGTTGAATCAGCAATGATCCAATCAGTGTTTGGATGATGATGATGATGATGCAAATGATTGGATGCATCAGATCGGTACACCTCCTCCTCCTGCCACTCCTCCCACCTCTCAGCAAGACCATCACCTTCAAGCATTCTCACAACCTCTGACATCTTTGGTCGTTCCACCGGGGAACTTAGTGTGCATAGAAGGGCTACTTGAATTAGCTGCTCCACCTCCTCTTCAATGTAATTACCCTGAAGATCTCCGTCAACTAATGTCTCATACTTCTTCTCCTTAAGTAGCCCCTTCACCTGATGTTCAAAATGAAGGTAGGTTCAACAAAGAAACAAGGTTAAAAAGTGATTCTATGGGAAGTCGCAATGCAGGAATTGTTTCCTCTGGATTCTTTTAGGGAAAGTTTTCCAGTTCTGGTCCAATAACTACTAGGTCATTCTCACTTTTTATCCCGACTTTCATTTCTTTACAAGACAACTCCCATATTCACCAGACAAGTGACAATAGAGGACCAAAACTGGCAAGAAATTCATAATTGTGCATCAAGAACGACAACAACTAGGTCATTCTCACTTTTTACCCTGACTTTCAATTTTTTTACATGCCAACTCCCATACAGTGCAAGCAACCACGAAGGACCAAAAGTGGCAAGAAATCCATAACTACAGTATTTGACTCTTTGCCCGTTCAATCTTAATATGCTCTAATACACCATTTCAAGACTTGGAGCTTCCTCTTAAGACTTCAATCCAATATGGGTAGAGTAGGCCAAGATCTTCTTGTTATTTATTTACTTAAGCACAGATTCATCTAATAAGATATTATAGTTGTTAAAGTTTTTAGAAATGTAAAGTGGCAGTATCATAAAAAAAAGAAGAAATATACTGTGGCAGTATAATCCATAGAAGGGGAGGGACTTAATTAATGTCGGGGGGGGGGGGGGGGGGGGGATCATTGAACGGTTGGAAAACACTTACCCAATCAAGTAACATAACATCATCGTCATTGGCAAGGCGAGCAAGGTCAAAGGCTCTCTGCCCAGTTATGATCTCCAGAAGCATAACCCCGTAACCAAAAACATCAGTTTTCTCTGATGATTTCCCGGTTGACAAATACTCAGGGGCTATATGGCCGATTGTACCACGCACGGCAGTGGTCACATGAGTGTCCTTGTAGTCCATCAGTTTGGCAAGTCCGAAATCCCCAACAACTGCTTCAAACTCCTCATCCAACAAAATATTAGCTGCTTTTACGTCACGGTGAATTATCTTTGGATCACAGTGGTCATGCAAATATGCAAGGCCTCTAGCTGATCCCAACGCAATATGTTTCCGGATTGGCCAATCAAGCGGGAGCTGTGATTCACCTCTCTCTGCAAATTAAGTGAATATAATAATTAGTGTCATCACATGAACAAGAGGATATTAGGATAATGTTAATTACTATTGAGATTTGAGACAAATAAACTTATGTGGTCGAGACTAATAGAAATAATGGAAGAATCAATATCAACCACACAATTCTTTTCTTAAAAGGAAATTATGGGACAAATACAAAAAAAAGTGTGAAGAACAAACCGAGGCTCAGGGAGGGATTGTCAGTATAATCTTTCTACAAGGTAGTCCATATTCTATTTTGATCCGTCACAAAATCTTAGTCTGATTTCTTTATTGGGTGCACGCATAATTTTGCATTCCAGATGTACCCAAACTTAGTCAGAACCCTCAAAATTAAACTGTTCTCCTATACTAGAAATTGTTAATTTTAAACAGGGTAAAAATGTGAAATTGCATATATATTTGGGGAAGGATCGAAAAATGACTTAACCATAAAAGATCTTATGAAACATGGTAGAGGACAACCCTTTTTCCCAAGGAAAAAATATAAAACATTATGTGGGCAGCATACATATTAACTACAGAATGGAGAGCACTTGCAAATCCAAAGAAGTACCTCTTAAACGGGATGCTACACTTCCATTGGCCATATAGGGATAGACAAGCAAACGCTCAGTTGGGGTCATGCAAAAGCCACGCAAACGGAGAAGATTTCTGTGCACAGCCATACTAATCATCTCAACCTCTGTCTGGAACTGCAACTCCCCACCTTGAGTGCGTTCCTCTTTTAGTCTTTTAACTGCCACTAGTGATCCGTCAGCTAACCTCCCTTTGTAAACCTTACCAAACCCACCTCTACCGAGTATATGCTTATTGCTGAAATTATCAGTGGCAACTTGCAATTCACGCAAGGAGAACTTCTTGAGCTGTCCAAGATGAACTTCAGGGTCCTCCTCAGCTGACAATGAAATAAATAGATAAACATGAAAAATGTATCGTAAAGTACAATAAAGATCTATGAGAACTTTGAAGAAGTGGATTGTATTAATAATATATACTACTGACCAGGAACATCAAAGAAATGGTCTTGCGGTTTCCTTTTCCTCCGCCATGCAAGAAAAATAGCAGGAACAGCAAAGAGAAGGGCAGCACCTGCAGCCACTCCTCCAGCAATGGCCGCCGTTGAGGTGTTGGGCCCTGCAAAGTTGATTCAGTTTACATTTTGTAACGGTTAGTAAAAATCTTTTAGAGCCTCAATGACCAATAAAATTTTAACATTACAACTCCCTCTATACATTTTTTAAATCTACTTCGACTTTTAGCCTGTCCCTACTCCTTAGTTGATCACTTTCCTAAATTTATAATTTTTACTTCTCTGAGAGTAATTTTTTAGTATGTTTTCAGGTTTTACACTGCGGGACCCATTTTTTCTACCTTTGAAAGGAAATCAACAACAACATCCAAGCCTTATCCACAAAAGATTTTGGGTTCGGCTTGAATCGAGCCATGAAATCGGAGACAAAAAGAAAAAAGATAAGAAAAATGAAAAGATAAGATAAAAAGGACAAGATAAATACTCCGTATGAGATAAAAGAACATAAGTAAGATATAAGATAAAAATAACATAACATAAGAAAGATAAAGAAGATAAGAAGATAAAAGAAAATGAGAGAAAAAAGAGAGAGAAGAGATCAATTCTCCACATGAATATTCGAAAGGCAAACCTAAAAAGAAATATATAGCACCATCCTTTTCTGAAAAAAGCACGCCAAACCCAAATATATACTACATGTTAGGACTTGGGAGGGATGGAGTAATAAGAAATCATACTACTTATCGAGCAGGTGCATGTTTGTTCACTTAAATCATGCCAAAATGGAAGTATCATATACGTACTCCCTTCGTCCCAATTTGATTTGCAAAATTTCCTATTTTGGTTGTTCCAAAATGATTTTCCACTTTCTACTTTAGGTATGTAAATAAGAATAAAGAGACAAATATACCCTTACTTTTACTATTTCTTCATTAACTTAAAGGCATCTACTTTTAGTAAGATGGGCAAAAGTGTAAAAAACAAGCATCATTTATTGCCATTCCTTAATCCTTGTGCCAATCAAAGTTTGCAATTCAATTCGGGACGGAGGGAGTATTACAGTACCATATATGAAAGGATGCTGAGTTTCATTAACCTTGGATGATTCATCCATTAATTTCTTTTTATGATGGGGGAGGGGCAGGAGGCACTCTTAAGAACAAACAATGAACATATGCTTCAAGTTGCATAAATAGGGGTTAACGTCATGAAGATTAGAGAAAGAGTAGTAAAAATTACCAAAACGACTAACACGAACCTCGAGAAGAAGGTGGTGTTGGAGAAATTGGCGGAGGAGGAGAAACTGGAGGATTTTGCAGCTGGTTATTGGCAAAACTAAAGCATAGCCACTTGGCAATCAAGATTTCAACTTCAAAGATCCAGAAAATATTTCAATAAAAGAAACTATTAGACACAAACCTGATAGGAGTGAAAAGTGAAAAGGAACCATTGACTGGAGTTGGTCCTTGCAGATGGTTGTTCGAGAGATCACTGCATTGCATGAGAATGAGTATTAACTTTCATCAAAAAGAAAATTACACTGCCTCCACCTTCATATTTAATAACACATGGTACAACTTTCTATGTTTGGTAATGCACCTTCATTTAAATTAAAGACTCCCTGTTTTCTAGCAAAACTATATTTTTATTGCAATATTATAATAATTCCAATGAAAATTTATTTTGTTTATTGCAATATTGATTTTTAAAACAGCACTTTTTGGACAGAGACATAACGTGAGGAATAAGGTTTTGAATAAAGTTATCAATGATAAACTTACAGTACTTGGAGGGTATTAACTGTGGTCAGAGACATTGGAATACGACCAGTGAGAGTGTTGTTGTTGAGCCTCCTTCAAATTTCCACAAAGAAAGAAACAAAAGCAGAAAAAATTGAGGTTCCTTATAAAAACAAATCGAGTCTGCTACTTAATGCACATTCTCTCATTGTTAAATGGAATTTTAAAAAGAACGAAGAATTGTAACTCATACAAGAAGCGCAGTTTCTGGAGCTTGCCCAAAGTGTCAGGGATGGTACCACTCAAGTTGTTCATGTAGAGATCCAAGCTGATCAAGTTTGCTAAGTTTCCTAGTTCAGTAGGAATTATGCCACTTATATTATTGCTGTACAGCTCCCTGCAAAAAACACAAATATGGTCAATGTAGATCAACAGACTGAACCACATTAACTGTGTAAACTTTAAAGCATAACAGGCTATCAAAGTCCATAGGAAATGAAATGAAATTTAGCTGTAATAGAGGGTGCAGGTTTACAAACAATAGGTAATCAGAATTAATCTCGTTTCATGCGGCTGAGAGAAATCTAGTAAGAAGAAAATACAAAACAATTGCCAAGCATATTACCTGGCAAAGAAAAAGGAAAAAGACTTACAAGTACTGCAAATTTGGAAGTTGACCAAGCTCTGGAACGAGGTGACCCGTCAAATTTGCATTGCCTAGATCACTAAAAGTGAAAACAGAAATAAGTATCAAAGCCCAAACCAAGTAAAACGGTTATGAAAAAAGGGGCATAGTTGCTTTTAAAAACAGCTCACACTCGAGTAACACTGTTGTCTGTGTTGCAGGTAACATGAAACCAAGTGCAGGGATTAACAAGGGTTGGATCCCAACTCTGTAGAACACTGTTTGGATCAGCTAAATTACTCTTCAGTGCATTCAAAGCATCACCTGTATGTCTTACACAAATGACCATCATTAGCTTATAGCATCTTTTCAGCAAAACATAAGTGTGCGAATTTTCACTCCTTACACAACTCAATCATTCAAAAATCTCACTCCTATCTTTCAAATTCCAAACCTTTCCAATTACATCAGTATCACACATCAGGAAAGAAGTAGTTAAGATAGAAAGGTTGCCTATTAGACATTGGGATTCGGGCTAGCTAATAGATCGAACTCAATATATTTGGCATACCCTTTGGTGCCTACAAGGAAATCCTTAATTCTATACTAAAGAGAACTAATTACACAAACTTTACTACTCCATCACTGCAAATTCCAGATGAAAGATCTGATTTGACCAAGTACATACGAGATAATAAATCGTTATAATCGATAACAAAGATAAAACGGGTATTATCTTCAAATGGAAGATGAGAAAAATGAAAGATTCGAAAAGAACAGACAGACCTTCGCCGTTACCAGAGACCAGTGGAGGTTGAAGAAACGGCAACCACAAGAATAGCATAACAGAAAAAGCAGAAACCCGTATCATCCATAACCGTCGATCCATGCCTACACCCTTATTCTTCATCAAATCTACTTAAAACCTGAGATTTCCCTTCTCCAGCATCACGCTTCTCTAGCACTTCATCTAAAAAGGAATGGTCCAAGCTGGAGAAAAAGCCCTACCTTGGAAAGACAGAACCAAGAACTGGATGCGTCAAACCGAAGCTAAAGGGGCAGCATCCGTCAGCTCGGTAGCGCAAAGAGGTGAGCTTAGAAATAGTGATTGCATAGAAAATTAACTCAATTTCGTTCACTTCCCGAAGAAATCAGAATGCCGAAAGAAACAAGCAGAGAGAGAGAGAGAGAGAGAGAGAGTTGGTTTGTACAGAGTAGGGTGAAAATTCAACGGTATCGCAGAGAAACGTCGTTGCAGATGACGGGGGAATTGCCATTCGGCTTCTACGGGTCAATCCTTCACTTTTCTCACTCCAATCCACTTGTCTTTTCTACTCTTCAGATCAGAGGTTGATTGTGAATTACCATTTCCTACTTTCCAGCTTGCCTACCCCTTCATATTTCTTATTCACTGCTGCAGTGCTGCACTTAGGTTAACCTGTTTTTTTAAATAACTTTCACATTTTAAAAGTGATTTCAAATTTGGTATCGTCATTTATGTCTATACTTTTTATATTCAGCCTCTCATTAAACTTGATCAAATTTGATTCAAGTGTTTTCTTTTGGACAATTTTCGGTCTCACACCACACCAAATCATATCAGACTAAATTAGAATAGATCAGACTTAAACAGATCAGACTTGGATACTTATAAAATAGATAGAGATCAGACATTTACCATAACAGATCAGTTCAGATCAGAGCAGAACAACAAATTTTAGTCCAAAAGAAAACATCCTTACATATTGAATAGTAAAAAATATACGGAGTATATAATTGAGATTTATGCGGGTGAGAGAGAAAGAACTTTTCTAAAGTAATGAGAGAGATAAGTCTTTAAACCCATACAGAGTATTTATTACTCTAAATAGAAATGACAAAATTTTTTAGAATAAACTTTAACATAATTTTATGGGACGAAAGAAGTGTATGATTATTGCATTATGCTAATTTATATTTTCATGGCCTTTTTTATACATATTACTAAATAAGAGGCTGAAGACAAAAAAGTGACTGGATCCCAAAAATTCCAAAAAAAATGACTACCGTTTTGGGCACGTGCGGTTAATCAACAAACCTACCATTTCCGGATGAAGTCAACCAACGGTTTTTATCCAAAAAAATCGGCCGCATTAATACCATTGTCAAATGTGTAACTGAAAGCAAAAAATGAGGGCAATTTACGTTAGTAAACATCGTCGGTCATTTCCCGAAAAAATTTTGTGCGAGTTCCACATTACGTTCCGCCCGATTGAAGAAGAGGGTCGTACTGGCGAGAAGGAACCTATTGAAGTCACTGATCCCCTATTCTTAGGTGTGAACTGGTAAAGTATGTTATGATTCGTTGTTGTTTTGATCAGTATTGATAGTGACGACCATGAGGTCAAGACTTTCAGCATGTAAACCGCTGAATATTGGGTTGATAATTTTCTATTGTTTAGATTCATGGTGGTAATTTGTGAAGTGTATGGTCGTGCAACAGTATGGGATGAGAACGATTCCCAGAAAGTTGGTCACGACGCAGACTTGCAGCAGTCACTGAGAAGGCGAATGCGCAAGTTGTCATACAAGTACGTGGGACTCGTGATTAGTTACTGCTATGGCATTAGGTGGGTAGTTTAGTGACTTGGAGTTGTTTTGGTTTTAACAGTACAAATGGATTACATGTAGTGACCATTTTTAGTGACTTATGTTTAAATGTTTTTGGGGTAAGTGACTGGATTGACGTGTGTGTTTAGGAAGCGATCACGTAGAGGTGGGATGTAGTCACTTTTGGTGACTACATCCATCATCAATGCGAGTGAAGTATGTATGTTAGTAATTGCGTTACTATTTGACATAGAATTTGGGCATGGTGGTTAGAGTCGCAAGTGACTGATGGTCCGGTAGACAGATTTGGTCAGTGACTGTTTTGTTGCATATCGGTAGTATGTGGTCACTGTGTGTGGTGCGCGCAGTCACGCTGTTTGTTTATGCATATTGAGTGTGAATACGTTGTTATTGATAGTGACTGTTTTGTTAGTAAGTGAGGTGTTGAACATTGTTTTGGGAAGATGCTAATAGTATAGTGTGTTGTGCATTACATTCGGCTAAACTCGTTTTAGAAGTGACAGGTAGTATGTCAACACCTACAAATTAGGCTTGGAAATCATAGGTTCCAGTGACATAGATGTGGTGAGAGTCCGTGTTCAGGTCAATATTTGTCGTTGATTCATTACGTGGTGTGTGCATAGTGACTTGTGGTACACGTGACGATGACAGTGATACTGTAGACATGGATGAATTATGGATTGTAATGTAAGCAATAATTATTTAAACAAAAGTTAAAATGAAATTATGGATTAGGATGATGAATTGTAACGTAAGCAATAATTATATAAACAAAAGATTTAACAGTAGACTTACATGCTTCCTACAGAAAATGGTGTTCTTCAAAACTTCTGCACTCGTTTTGCTTGAGTCCATTTCAAGCAAAGCGAACAGGCAGTTGGGTCAACGCATTGAGCTAGTTCAATGTCTGTCAGTGCTGGAAAACTCTCGAAAGCCCAAATTTGAAGAGCAAGGACACAATCGTATATATTGTAGTGCTCAGGATTGGACTTCATGCTACCAACAGATGCTCTAAAATAGGTATCCATATCATCCCATATAACGCGTCCCCGTGGATACTTGTTAAAGTTTTCCAAGTTATCTACCAGATTAAGGTACTTACCTTTCAAGGGACTTGACCTTCAGCCGCTAAAAATGATTGAGATAAGACATGTAGGAGAGACAACTTAACAATCTCGTTATCTGACACACTGCCCCTTTTTATAGATTGTAAGACTTGCTTAATAGCATTCCTCTTTACAAATTTAGAGCAAGAGGGGAAGTATTTCTCCCAAATACGACCCCTATCAGTGACTTCATTATCTACCTGAGGAATGTTATCAACGACATTGAATCTAAAAATTTCAGCCAAGTGAGATATTGAGAACACTACCCTCCTACCCTCAATTTCAAAAACAAAATCCCTAGGACACTCCTTGTTGCCTCCTTCAACATCAAGCATATTACCCAGAAGAAAATGCAAAAGCAGCCCGAAACATAACATCTCATTGGCATCTAGGAATTTCCCAAAAACAGTTTTTTTGAACAGTTCTACCTGATTAGGAAGTAATTTAGACCTCACTAGATTGATTGCATCATACAACCTACAAAACGTATTGACCTTCTTTTTTAAATTGACAATGGCTTTGTCCAAATATCGTTTGCCTGCCTGAAAACATATTAACACAAGCATCGTAACACATACTGCAAACAAGTGATATATTAATTGTGTATAGGATAAAGAAACTTACGACTTCCTCATTATCCACGGCATTTGCAGCTGAAAGTGGAAGGGGATGTGTGGATACGAAGTCACTATCACCCATCCCTACAAAAATGACGAAATAAAAAAATATACAAATACGTGTGAGGTGTGATAACGAGGAAGTAAACAGTGACTACTAATACTAGATGAGTTGAAGTATGTGCTTTTCACTGTAAATGCATACATCAATTACTAAATAAAAGTGACTACTGCTACTAGATGAGTTGGAAAACTAGCAGTTCGTATGAAGCAAGGAATGAAACGGCAGAAGGTGATTTTCGATGTAGACTTCCAAATTGAAATGGAAACTAATTTAACTAACAAATTGAATACTTTTTGTTTATATACTTATGTAGTCTAGCATAGGCTTTCCAAACGTAGTACAGAGCTTAATACAGAAAGGTTGATTAGAAATACAATTATTTGAATCAAAGTCCAATACAGGGAAGAAGTATCCCAGAAAAAGCAACAGTCAGCTATGAAACACAAAATTTGTCTTGGCCAAAATAGAAAAAACTTTTAAGCTAATTAAAATGCAGAAGAACAATATGAAAGTTAGTAGTGACTAGTAATAATAAACTTGTAACACTCCCTGATGGTGTTAAGTAAGGAAGGAGCAAGAACAAGTTAATTGGCTCATTGGACTACCAAATTCAAATGGCTCCTACTTGAACTAACACAATGGAAACAAAAAACTCATATCTCTGTCTGAATATAGAATAGTTTTGAATGCTAAGTGACTACTTTACATGCATCACTGAGCAAATTGTATTTGTCAATATGAATAAGCATGAGTACAACATTCATTTCACAAAACAACAAGCATAAGCTTTCCAATTGAAGTTCATAACATATTCATGAAACGTTGATCAAATATTAAGTACATTCAATCCGAGTCCAAAAAGGGTAAAAAGAATCCCAGAACAAAGCAAGAAGAACCATTCAGCAAAAAGTCATCGCAAAAGATAAATAACACATATAATCTAATTTAAATGCAAAAAAAAAAACATGCAAGGACCATGACACAGAAGTTGAAGACATATTCAAATATAAAGTAATGTTTAATTATTATGCATTCAACTGCACATATTCCAATTCTGGATTAGGGTTTGAGAGTGAGAAAGACATGGAAATCGAAAATAAGAGTAGAAACTGTAAAGAAATCGTATAATACACATGATATTCGATTAAACGAGAAGTTTGGTCTTACCAGAAGTTTTACTGGTTTCCTGTGAGTGCCAGACGAGATTTTGGTCTTCAACGAAGGCGACAGAGATGCAGCGTCGTCGAGAGAAGGAGAGCTGATACCGTCGAAGATAAAAAATAGTAAGAAAAGAGATGAAGGTGGTAGAAAATGAGCAGGGGACTCCCAGAAGGAATGTCGTTAATGGAAGAGAGAAAAAAGGCTGAAACAAAGCCAAGACAGGTGCGTTGAAATTGGACGAGGCGTACAATTAATGACCTAAGGTCACTTTTTGGGAAAACTAAAAAGGAATCATGTTTTTGGAATTCCAAAGTGTAATAGTAATATAGAGGTCATTCTTTCTATTTTCATTGCTTAAAATCGCTTGAGATTTGGATAACACACAACAAATTACCAATAAATAAATAAATAAATAAATAAATAAAGCTAAGACACATTCAAATGTGAGATTTATAGGGTTTAATTAAAGTGATCTTGATTTCTATTCTTTTGACGGTAAGAATGTGCATTTTAGATATGAAGACCAAAACTTCAAAGATTTGGAACTAAAAAGGGTGATGCCATACCGTGTGGAGGCATGATTAAAATAAAATGATGAACCAAAAATTACTTTGTTCAATTTGTATATGGCAGTGATTGAAAACATAGTTACACCTCAAAGATTTTCTTATTAATAATTGATTTCTTTTTATTTTTAGCTTGTTAAATTTTGTTTATTTATTTACGGTTAAATATTTATTAATTTGAAATCATACTTTTATGTGTTAGCGGTTTAATGATGAAACACAATAATATTTAATGGTTAAATGACAACATACCAGAATTGCACCGATAAATACTATCGATTCTTATATTGGTTCTTCTAAAAACTTCTAGAATCGAATCGATATTGGATTAACGGTTCTTCAAATGGTTCCTAATTTTCTTTCAGGAACCGAACCGTTCTCACCCCTACATTTTTCTTCATAAGACGATCGATCCTGTTACTCACCTCCCAACCCGTCCGTACTAGTCCAGGACCTTTAGGCCGGTTCGTGATCCCTGGTAAATAATTAATCAAATCTAGTGTTATTCTGCAACCACATCTATGCGTACTTGTGACAACATAAAAGTCCACAGAAATCTTTGGTGAAGAGAAGTGACAATTGAAGAGAATTAATGTACTAAGATTGAGTTAAAAGTCTAGGAGAATCCATGGTTTTAGAAGTCAATAAGAATGAACGAAAGTTTGAATACGCCTAGACTTGTATAGACTTTTAAAAGTCTACCATAAATACACATAGACTTTTTTAAACTTTTAAAAGTCTACACCGAATACACTTAAAATTTTAAAATCCATGGACTTTTAAAAATTTCTCAGTAAATCGTAATACAATACATACCCCTACACCTGAAAAGAAAAAATGGCACAAGTACTTGCTCTTGAAAATTTAGTATTCGTAAAAGCCATAAGGGTCTGTTTGGTTTGGGGTTGTTGAGGTTTATTCATCGGTGTCCAAAGCCCAACACAATCCTTTGACCTTCATCGGAATGCTTTAGTTGAGTGTGTGGTTAATGAGTTGTTCAAGGTGACATGGAATCAAGTACAAGGACCAAACAAAGACAAGTAATTACAAGGCAAATTAAAGTGGATCCAATTCAATTCAAGTCTTTAGAATGTTTACAACACTTCCGCTGAGCAGCGCTCTGACCTTCTAGATTGAGCTGAATGCTATTGAGAAAGCTAAAGAGAAGTCTAATGCTTAAGAGTATAAAGTTGCTAACCCTTTACAATGAAATAAATGTTGCTGTTTATACTACAAGTAAGTAGGTGGAGGGGGTGACGTGGGAGAATCTGATAAGTCCGTATTTCGACACACATTTGATGCGTGTTGAGATCGGCTTTTGATGGTTTTCCTAGATTAAAGATGTCATAAGTCTCATTTTTAGCTCAAGTCATATTTTACCGGGCGTTGTTGTGCTTGGTATTTTTGGAGTCAAAATCAGGGAATTAAGCCCAACACTGGCATTTGAGAAGTAATCGGGACGAGTCAAGGCGCATTTGAGAGTTGATTAGGAGCATTGGAGGTCAATGAGGTGTTAAAGACGAAAGAGCTCTAGAATTGGCTACGGGATCAAAAGAGCTTGAAAACGACGGTTGGGAAGATGTTCTGTCAATCGTTCAAGCATATCTTTTTGTAGAATCATCCAAAGAATACGATTCCAGTTCCATATGAAATATAACTTCAAGGGCTACAAATCATATGAAGACACCATTACGATAATCTGAGAGGAGCAAGGTGAAAACAGACGATGAAGTCGGATAATCTCTTTTGAGATTTCAGGATGCGACCTTCCACCATTTTATTCATATTTTTTGAGTAGATGATTAAAATACAGTTTTGCAAGTTGTGGTGGATAGGGGACTTCATTATCTACAACTTTCATGAAGGAAGAATGGTCAAACTCGGAAGATAATGGCGCACCCCGTGCGCCCGAAGTCGGGCATGCCGTGCTCGCTGAAGGAAACAACGAAGACCTTACTGCCGGTCAGGCACGCCGTGCGTGTCAGGGAGGCACGCCGTGCAAGACCCCGGGACATGCGTTTTACTCCGCAGGCACGGACGCCAGACACGCCGTGGCTAGCGCCATGTCTGCCCCCGGATTTCATAATTTGAGTTGAATTCACATGTTTTCTTTAAATAAGGCCTCTATTTCCCCGTTTGAGGGGGAGAGAGCTTAGAGAGAGGCCTAGGGACGACTTTACACTTGTTTTTCCGCATTGTTCTCAATATCCTAGGATTATTTGTAAGTTCCAACTTTTTAGTTAATGACAATTAATTCTTTTCATCCCAATTCTATTGTTGATTCAATTATGAGTTGTGAGTAGTTTTAATTAGGGATTTGGGATTGATGAAGGGGTTGATAATGATGTATGGCTAGTTTTTTGATGTATTAATTGCATGAATCTTTACTTAATTTGTGTTTGAATGATTCAATGAATGATTTATTCTAGGACACTTTCACACACACTTAATCGTTCGCTAAGAGATTACTAATGATTAAGGGGGCGTACGCTCGCTCGTTTTGGCAATAATTTTAGATACCTGTGCATGGAAGATCAGCCTGGTTCCTTAAATTATTGTACTCTACGCTGTGAGAGCGGTTAGAACTTAGTATTGATTTATGTTGCTCAATTAATTAATTTTCATGTGATTAAGCCTGATCTGCCAGAAATCTGATTACCCCGGAGTCAATCCTTGTTCCTTCCGTCATTAATTAGAAAGAACTCATTAGTTTAGTCGTTTACTTGCATTTTAATATTTCAATCAATCAAATCTCGCACAATTGCATTTAATTTATTTAGTTTTTATCGCTGAATTTAATTAATACTTAATTCCCTTTTGTCCGTCCCTGTGGAGACGATACTCGTACTTGCACCCTATTCTACTACGTATTTTAAGTGCGAGAAAACTCACATCAGTTTTTGGCGCCATTGTCGAGGACGGTGTCGGTTTTAAGAGTTAATTAAAATCAGCGACTTGCATTTAGTTTTTCATAGGATTTTCTGTCTTCTAACCTTTTAGGTTAGACTTGTTTATGCATACACGTTCTAAGAGGGGAGAACAACTTATCCCTGTTAATCTCGAGATCGGAAAGCTCGCTAGACAGAATTGTAAGGCTCTACGAGAGCAAAAGACAACCATGGATCAGTCCACATCGGGAGTTCCTATTACCTCCTCCCAACAAGATTTCTATATCAACACTTCACCACAATCTACCCCGCCAATTTGTCCTAGGAACTGCCCACCAGGTTTCCAAAATTACCGTCCTCCACCGGTATTTCCCCAAAATCAATCTACACCGCAACTAAACCTTCCTCTACTCTACCAACTTTTCTAAAATGTTTCTGATGTTCCTAAAACAACCTTTCAAAATCTAATCTATGGGATGCAAGGAACATGTCAGAATATTCCCCAAACCACTCAGAACACATTCCAAACTCAGCCACCCTACCAAAATCCTTTTCAAAATCAATACCGCAATCTGCCCCAAGTACCACATGTTCAACAAAGACAAGCTTTCCAACCTAGACAGCAGGCTCCTCCATCTAATGCTTATGTCCCGCACGATAACCCGCTCTACCAAGGGTAAACTATTGCAGAGTTTCTCACTCAAGAGATTTGTGAAGATGATAGAATTCAAGTGCCAGGAATTACTCAAAACCGTTACAAGATCAAGCCGGCAGTGATTAACATGGTTTCTAATAACCAATTTGGAGGAGGACCAACTGAAGATCCAGTTGCACACATTACCCGATATTTGAGGATGTGCCAGCCTTTCAAGATACCTGGAGTAGGTGATGATCAGGTGTGGATGATGCTTTTCCCTTTCTCATCAAGGGATGACGCGCAGAGGTGGTTGGACATCAATCCTCACCACCACCTCCAGACTTGGGACTAGCTGCATAGTGCCTTCATAAAAGAATATTTCCCAACATCAAAGGCACTGAAGTTGAAGAAGCAGCTGCAAGATTTCAAGCAAGGATCACTAGAAACGTTAGTTAAAGCATGAAAGAGGTTCAAGGTGCTAAGAAGGTCTTGTCCTCGAGGCAAGATGAGTAATTGTGAGATCATATCTTTCTTCTACAGTGGTATCAACAAAGAAGGAAAGATGATGCTAGATGCCTCTGCCAATGGAGCTTTTCCGACCCTATCAGCTGATGATGTTGAAGCCCTGGTGGAGAAAATAGTTGCCAATAATGCGTCATGGTACAGTTCACGGAGTCCTCCTCAACAGATAGCTCCAGCCCTTTATGAGATCAGTGATAATTCTGCCCTTTTTGCACGGGTAGATACTTTGACAAGCATGATGCAAAAGCTTATGACCAACATGGATGATCTAGGAAAGAGGGTAGAAACTGCTCACTCGGTGCCTAGCGTGAACATGGTGGCCGCTAGACCTATTAGTCCTTCTTGTAGTAAGTGTGGGGGAGTGAATTGGGCTTTCGGGCAGTACTTGTTATGTGAGATTACTAGTGTTAGCATGCACATGTATTAGTTGTATATTCATAGGAAATTCATGTCAATTGTTTTGAAACATTTTTCTTTAAACTGTATCTCTGTGAGCTGGCTAGAGTCTTGATTGTCCTATTAGAATGTCCTTGAGGTTTCTAGGCTTAAATTGCTTGCATTGTTGATCTAGTTATTGAGAGGATGAATGCATTAGTTACCCATTTGATTCATAATACTCAGGCATGAACCATTATTGGCGTACGGTCCATAGTTGGCATTATATAAAGATAATCAATAGTTGATATTATTGTTAGCGAAGTGGCAATAGTTGAGATTATTATTTTCAATTTTTCCTATTACAAACAATATAACAACATGAAAAAATACGCTTTATAGTTAATCAGGAGATTCACACGTATTCATAATTTACTTACAACTACATTTGATCACCACTATTTGAATTCTTTAGTTCAAAAGTTTCATTTCATTTTCAAAAAACTTATCCTAATATAGTTTTGATTTCATAAATATATTTACTAATATAAATAAAATACCAATTTTAAGTTTTATGATAAAAGTATTGTATCATTCTTAACAGTTAATTATGGATATTTTGGGTATTCAAACATATACGCCATACGGATTACGATTTAGAGATATACGGAGTATATGAATTTAGAAGAGGAAGATGATGAAGAATGTATCATAGTATTAGGGCCTGAATGAGATCCCCTTTACATGACTCCCTTTGGAGACGTAGGGAAAATGTGAATCAAGACGGCTAGCCTAACCACAGTAGTTCCAATTACATAAAAAGACAACTATATAAAAGTTAATCTAATACATTCAAATGAATGATTAAAGAGTACAAATAATACAAATGCTATATACCAGATGTACTTGGACCATTGTTCAAACCGGTAGTTGCAAGATCTGAGATCCGACCCATTATACTCCACTAGTTACTACTACTGGTTTTAGTACACTAATATTTTTATCACATATTTATTTAATAAAATACGGTGTATTATTTTATGGGGTTTTTATGGGAAGAACTAATCAATATGGCCTGTTTATAGCTTTGAATCCTTAGATTACTGTTTTCGAAGATCAGAATAGTGAGAACACAAAGGCTAACAGGCTTTGACTTGGTTTGACTAGTTCCTAGGTACTAGGTAGCGGTGAATTGGAAGTACGAAAACATCATAAAGAAACAGAAATATATTACATAAAGGCTTCGATATAAAACCACAGTATTGATCATATATTACTAAAACATGGCTACAAAAACATGGGGTTACTGACAGGGGGGTGTAAACTGATGTTGGTGATTGTTGTCCCCATTCTCCGGTCCATAAATGTTCAATTCAACCTATACGGCAGCGGGTAGGTCATGTCCTGGAAGGTAAAGAATGCTTTAAAATGGTTAGTTAATAAGACAGTAATTTTATTCAAAAATCGCGATCCAAAGTGTTATCCAACCCACATTAACATAACCAATCAATGAATCATCAATAATAATAATCATCATTGGCATCTTCATCTTCTTCATCGTCAAAATCCTCTCCATCAAACTCATCCCTAACTTTCTTGGCTTTAGATTTTCTTGAAGATGCGCCCGTTATGTCATTATAGAGTTTCTTATATATTGCAGGGCTGTCATACCAAGTTTGGGTTTTCATGATTGCACGTTCTAACCAGTATGGGTTCACTTTTTTCTTCTCTGACATCTTCTTCAAGGTTCGTTTCCACTTCTCCCCGAGCCGCTGTAACCGAAGACTCTTCTTCCCTCCAAACATGACCTTAATAATATCTTTCGTGTAGCGGTTGATATCTTCACCTTCGAGGATATATATGTACTGTAAAACATGGGAAACAATACAATGAGGGAAGCAACATGAATGGTCTTGTTATCTTTGAATAGAAATGCGCTAAAGAGAAGCGAAATGCATAAATTTGCTTTCATCAAGTAACAGTCAAGGCTGGCATGAACCAACAGTTGAGATTTGAGAATGTTAACACCATTCAGATTTGGTGGCAGGTTGGGAGGCGAAGGTCTAATTGAAAGAAAGCACTTCCCTAATTTCTTGTGTTTGGAGGCAGGGGTAACATTTTCTGGAAGATAATATTGTTGATGTTAATTATTGACAAATAAAAGGTCCTTCTAGAGTAGCTTTATGTTTCCGATTTTTGCAAGTTAAACATTATGCCCCTTTTGGACGCCACTTTTGGCTTTACTCCTTTGCTCAGGAACATGATTTGGCAATTTTCACAAACTGGACAAATAACACTTACTGAACAGGCCATATACTACATAAAAACAACTTACTTTCCAGAAAATATACTTCATTGAAGTGTTGAACACACTCTTTGATATGTATGGGCAACAGTGCAACATCAAGAACAGCTCAACAAGCTTATATACAATAGATGCAGACACAGAAAAGATGCAAAAATTATTGAAGGATGGTGATTACCAAAAATATGAAGCCCAGAGTAGCCAAGACAGCTTGCAATATTTCATCAAACATCTCTGAACTGTTTTCACCTTCTGATCCACCAGAACCATCTTTACCATTTTTACCACCACCGCCTCCCCCACCACCAAAACCGCCTTTACCACTACCCCCATCATCATAAAACTCTTGTTTCTTAATCTGATGCCTTAGCACATCCTCAATTGACTGCTCCTTCAAACTTCCCATGAAATTCCCAACCACTTCCTTCGGAATACCCTGGTAGACAAGGTCACAAAGTCACAGTGAGCTTCACAGATTTTGGTTCACCTAAATGATATTACCTCCATGTACAGTAATGAGGCAATGTTGGAAGCACATAGGGTTTCTTAGGCATTGTTAGAATATGGTAAAATTTTAGACTATTCCAACTCTGTATCTAAATATTTAATGGCATACATAATATCGCACTCCATGAACCGAAGAGCTTAAGATACAGCATGATACCCTCCATTTTTTAAAATACCTAGAATCCTAGATTAAGCTTAGGTTCCGTGAACTGAACGTTCTATGGGAAATTTCAGGAGCATGATCCCTAACTTCCTAAATGAATTACTATCTGAACTTTTGCTATATCAGGTGAGGAGTGGTGTTAGGTGACAACAAGTTAAGCAAGTCGAACATTCAAGTTTTATAAGGTATCCAATATCAATTAGCATATCCTAAGAAGCTCTTTATCTTTTTTTTATCCAAGGAGCGAATGAGTTCTGTGAGTATCCTCATGCCAGTAGAAAGATATGAAAATCTATGATCTACATCTAAACTGAAGCAATTTTATTCAACTTAAACGTGATATAATTCAGCATCTAAAGTGAAATAATGCAATGAAAGGATAGAAGCCAATATAAGGATCTTCAAAGGTATACAATGTAATTATTATATTCAAACCAAAAACTGGCTTACTATAGCAATTAATAGTAACTAACTGTACTGCCATGTCTCCAATATCCAGGCCATTTTCCAGACTAACAATGAACAAAAAACAATACTTGTCATCCCGAAATGAATTCCCACTTTTTTCCACCAGTCCCTAAAGCATCTACCTATATCTTTTGAATGAAATTATCATCTGGTCCATATTCTTTTAAATCCTAAATAGATCTCAACAACCCAATTTCATCTTCTAATAGCGGATGGGTCATGGGTGTAAATAACATTCTTACCTCATCTCCGTTGCCTGACTCTGTCTTGCCCCCAAACAAGCAGACAGGTCCAGATTGTTTGGAAGTAGAAGTACTAGCCATGACATTAAGAGACAACTTAGGAAGCCTTGCAGTTAAGTAAATTGTTGACGACTTATTCAACCTCAGTGAAACTGGAAATCTCGGCTTTGTTGCTGGAGAAGCACTTCCAGATGATGAAATGGGAGGGTAGGTTGACAAGAAGGGTTTGCTGGTAACGTAACTCATCTCGTCAAGCAGTTCAGTAAAACTATGAACCTCATACTATCCTCTATAAACAATAAACTACATTTGATATGAAACACAGAATTCAGCAATCTCTTGACAAATACACTTCTCCTGCAAATGAAACAAGATCAGAGACAGGATAAAAATCAGAGAGCATGTAAACCATGAATGAAAGAAAAGTTGAAAACACAATTTGTTTAACTGGAAATAGTAGACAAGGCCAGGCTAACAAAAACGCAGATTTCTTAAAGATATTTTATTGTATTAGATAATCCTAATAGTATAACAAAAAACGTAGAATTTACCATTAAAATAAACTCAGAAAATATGCAACCGAATGACATTTTATGATTCTATCCATGCAATGTATAAAATCACAAATACTAATACAACAATGCAAATACTTCACTGAATTGGTTTTCATGCATTTGATTCGTAAATTCGAACAGTACATCCAAAAATTTATAATAATTGATAAAAAACACTTCAAAATTGGGTTCCATATCTGGATAATTGAACCAAGACTTATTTGTTGCATGAGAGAATTTGAAGTATGGAGGGTGGGGGGAAACCTGGATTGAATAAGGAAGAACCAGAATAGGAAGGAAGCTGCCAAGAGCCGAACGAATACCTGGACAGAAGTTGAACAAAAAAAAATGAAAAGTGAAAATTTAGGGTGTTGAAAGAATTTAGAATTGGTCAGTCGATCTAGCGATATGTTGGACGTTTTAAACGACAAAAAGACCCGGCCCAGGATATTTTGCAAGGCGAGGCGGCTCAGTAGTTAATGCTTTCACTTCATTGTACGGAGTATTTTTCTGAGTGATTTTGTTGGGCTAATTATAAAGCTAATTAAAACTTGAAATATATATTTAGTCATGCAACCTAGTATATGGTGAGCTTACTTATTTGCATGATTGCATATTGCATATCCTGTTATGAATTTACAATCAAATGAGATACATTATAACCAAATTCTAAGACTTTTTTGGTCGGAGTCGAACGATATAAAAGGCCCTTAAGCAGCATAAAAAATAAACAAAAAATTTAAACACTTAATTATAATAGCAAAACTCAAAAACTCAAAAGAAATATAATCAAATAGCAATTTCCCTAAACTCTAGTATTCAATTAGCATTTAGCAACGATGATTTCAGAATTAAGAACACAATGCAAAATATCTACAATTCTAATTTGAGAGGTTCTTGTCTACTGAAGTTCTGGGCTGGCAGGGCTTCACAGGCGCACAGTTAGGAGGTTCTGGAGTTCTGAGCTGGCAGGGCTGCACTTCTACGGTTCTAGCGATGTTGGAAACTTAGAGTCTCAAAGCTGCGAAGTGCGAACGTCCGAAGTTGCAAACCAGAGCAAGAGGACAATGGTCGGTCGATTATTGTCGAAAGCTGCTAATCAAGGGCAATTCAAATTGGGCCTATTGTGGTATGGGTATATTTATAAAGGGAGCTGATATATTTCTGGGCCCTATTTTTTCCAAAAATTTTGAGCCTGAGGCAGTTGCCTCTTTGCCTCTCATGTAGGTTCGGCCCTGATTATAACATTGGCATGTTACACTTTTTGATGAACTATTTTATGAATTTACCACCGTATTTATTTGGTGGGTCATGCTTTGAAAAAGTGTTTAACCTTGCTACAAAGGTGGAAAAAATTTCGATGTAAAAAACATAATTAGTAACATAAAATAATTTATAAAAAAATATATTGAAAGGACTAACAATGAGGTCAAATATAAGTCAAGAATAAATCAGTAAATCCATTTAACAAAGGTTGTACCTTACGAATTAGTATATATAAATGTTCCAATGATTTTTTTTATCCAATTGTCCCTAAGGAACTTTATTGAAAAATTACCTAATTGGAAGCAATATAGAATTGTATAAGTGTACATAGTGGTGGAATTTGATCCTTGTGCGAGGTTTGGATTATTGTATATCAACAAAAAATATGACTTGACACAATAAGGATATTTCTTCTTGGATAGCTCGATAGCACAAGATTATGGGGGTGTTTGAAACCGATTCTGCTTCTGCTTCTTTTTTAAAGTAGAAGCAGAAGCAAAATCAGAATCAGTTTTCAGAAGCTGGTCTCCACCAACTTCTAAAAAAACTGCTTCTAGGAGTAAATTAGAGCACCAAAATTACTTCTGCACTTTCACCCAAACACTCAAACTTCTACTTCTGCTCTCTGAAGGAACACAAGCGGTTTTAAGAATCAGATCCAAACACCCCCTATAATACATGTAGTGTTTGATATCTTAAGAGGAAATGGTGTGCATCAAATGTAGCCCCATGTAGGGGTAGACATGGACTCCGCTCCATGACCATCCAGTTTTTCGGTACCAAGACTGGTCCTGAAAATTAAGGTTCCGGGCCTGGATCGGTGGGAAAGAGTTCTCGGTCCGATCTCATTGGAAAACATTTTATAAGGATGAAGGGTTCATTTAAAAGCTTAAAAGGGCGGGGAAGGGGATAAAGGGTTTGAAACTATATACAAAAATAAAATAAAAATGGTACAGGGACACATCTGAAATTGGATATCGAGTTCTCGGCCACATGCCTCCATATTTTTTCCAAAGACAAACTTATGTTTAAAGAACCGGACCGGGCCGGGCGGGTCAACCCAGAACCCGATCACCCGGTCCCAATCCGGTCTGGTAAGCCATCAAGCCGCTAACGTGTCCGAACCCGGAATTACCCGCTAACCCACCTAACCCGGTCCATAACCCGGGATGACCCAAACCCGAAAATTATGGGAAACCCAGAATTAAATACAAAACACGAAGGCAGGAGGGGGTTCAAATCGTGGTGGATACTGGATAGGGTGACATTAGGAACTTCAATCCATTGAGCCGCTTTGACAACTTGTTCAATATTGTTCCTTAACTATATACATAGTATAATATATATTTTTTATACATCAATACGTTAAAGGCTAACTCCTATTTTGTATTTATTTTAATGGGCTTGTACTTTGTAATTAATAATGATAATAAAATCATACTCCCTCCGTCCTTCTATAATTGTCCCATTTACCATTTTTGATAACATTTGTGTGACTCTAATTCATTATCAACCACATAATTCTACTTTTCTTAAAAACCACATCACTTCCTTCCGTCTCAGTATTAGGGGGACAGAGGTAATACAATCATCAATACGTACATTTGCTATTATTATAAGTGAAAGTATTTATATAATACTTTATATTCTTTAATAAGCATCACATTCATATTTATTGACCATCTAATTCAAAAGATATTTTATATTTTATTAAAGTATGTATAAGTTAGAATGATAATTTTATTTTATATGTTGACCGGGTTTTTCTGGCTTTGATCCGGGTTAACCCATCGGGTCCGGGCTGACCCGCGACCCGGTAATTCGGCCAGGTTGCTTCGCGGACAGGTTTTTACAATATAGAGAACAACTGATTGGAACCGAGATCGTGTCCACCCATAATCACATGCTAACCTTTTTAAAGGTTATGCTGCTACAGCTAGTGCACACAATTCCCACATCTAAAGAGCATCATTTGAACTCCACAACGCCATAACCTACCGCTCAATAAGTGAAACGATTTCCATGTGAACACTTGTAATTTAGAAGTACAGATGGCATTACTTTATAAGCCTACACTTATAGGGTTGAATTTCAACATAAACTAATAATGTGAAGCAACATATTCTGAAGCAACATAAACTAATAAACACCATTAAGTTAAAAACTACCCACATTACTCATCATAGTCGAAGCACCGTGACATGCATTAGCTAAAGGCCAGAAGGCCTTATTTGAAGGGTAGGGAATTCATTTGAAATCAAGGCTAACTGAACCACTAAAAAAATCTGGTGGTTAACCCTGCTCAATGGTACATTAGGAGATAAAGGTTTTATAAATTGTTTATATATATTTTCTTCAGTCTTTCCCAAATAAGAAATACTGTACATTTTTATTTGATTTGTCAAAGACTCACAGTTCAAAAGTTGAGAACGCACCAAATATGCAATCACCTACAAAGAAAATAAACATTATTACTATACTAAGATTAGAAATTTCCTTGATCTCTTTACATAGAGCAGTCTTGGCAAAACTATCCAAACGGTTAGCAAAGTATCAATAAGTTTATTTGTTGAGGCTCCACTACTAGAAAAAAGCTTAATTGCTGCGGTTGTTTTAACTTAATTGCTGCGGTTTGGAACCGCAGCAATTGCAGGAGCAGCAATGAGTGATAATCAATGAATTTGTGAGAAAGGAGCTTTGAGGAATCGGCAGGAATGTGTGAAGATCGAATTCAAATATGTGTTTCGAATGGTTGTTTGCCTTGTACAATCGTGCGTGAGAAATTAAGGAGATTTCTAGTTTGTAAGTGAGAATGGAGCAGAGAAGGCAAAGGTTTGTGAGAGACATGAACTTCTGAGCTCTGAATATTTGGAAACGATGGATGAGAAGTGAGGGTTGGAGGCGGGTAGACGACGAAGGGATAAAAAATACTCCCTCCGTCCCTTAAAGGTTTGTCATGTTTGACCGGCACGTAGAATAATAAAGTAAAAACTGTGTGGTAGAAATTTGTGCAGAGGAGAGAGAAATAACATGAGCCACAAATTGATTGATTAAAAGGGAAAGTGGCAAAGTTTTTGGGACAACCAAAAAAGGAAAGTTGGCAAAGTCATAAGGGACGGAGGGAGTAAGAAATTTACTCAAATACCCTTAGGCATTAGGCGGATACTCACTTAATTCACTTAAGGGAAAACTGTCAAATTAGTTCACCTACTATTTATTCAATCAATTAAGTCTACTAACGGTCAAAAAATGATCAAATATGCCTTTTCTTCGGTAGTTGACTGGTTTCTCCGGTTAATCAGTCTAAGTGGATCGTCAACATGACTTTTTTCCTATAAGAGCATCTCCAATGCTAAAACGTTAATTGTGCATATGTGTCATGAGAAATAACCAATTAAAAAACAATAAATAGAATATCTCTCTCCTTATTTGAAGGATCTTACATCATTTTGGTAAGTTTTTCTTCACAATGTCAAGCACAATGTCTAAATGTAGACATTGTGGTTGACATTGCAGACAAAAACTTACCAAAAATACATAAAACCGTGGAAAGAATGAGAGAGAAATGTCATAAAATCAATATTTTGTATCTCTCTCTCATGCCACATGTGCACCGTGCACATTGTAGCATTATTGTAGCATCGAAGATGCTCTAAGGGTTGATATGGCCGTCTGTGTGGCATTAGAGCTTCTTTTTCCCCTTTTTATAAAATGTTTTCTTCTTCTTCATTCTCCCATTCTATGCAACTTTTTTCTCCCTTTTCTTCTTTCTTTATTTTCTTCTCTTATTTCTTCCTTCTTTACCCTTTAGCTTTGCATCTTCTACCACCGTCGATCTCTGCCAGTACCATCTCCGTCAAGTTCTGTGATGAAAACACCCAACCATCTTCATCATTCTGCCGCCGCCGTCGAGCTATGCCGCCTCTGTCGTACTCTCAGTCGCCCCCTGGTTGCCATTGAAGAAGAGGAAGGGTCACCGTCACTGGCCCGTCAGGTCTCTGGGCATAAAAAGAGGGGATATAGAAGGTTGGGTGGGATAGAAGAAATAGAGTGAAGAAGGAAAAAAAGAAAGAAAAGGGAAACAAGAAGGGGGTTGATTACGGGAAAGAAGGAGCGAAAGAAGACGGGAAAAAAAATGGAAGGAAGAAGAGAGGGAGTTGCAGGGGGGCGGATGGACAACAGGTAAGAACCAGGGGAGAAGAAGAGGAAATAGAAAAAGGAAAAGAAGGGAAAAAGAAAAATGCTAGAAGGATAAACACATTTACAAAAAAACTTACAAACAAATGATATGGCTATTCTAATTACCATTGATGTAAAAGTGTTGTAAATGTGACGTGATGTGTTAAATGATGTGATGATGCCACATACCCCTTTTGTAAGACTTTTTGTAAAATTGTTTGTACCTCTAGCATAACTCAAGGAAAAAAGGGAAAAGAAAATAGAAACAATACAAAAATAAGGGGTTACGGGCTGTTTACCGATTAAATGGCAAATTTGATTGAAATTTGAGACTATGTGTACTTAATTGATTGAATAAATAGTATGTGGATTTAATTGACTTTTTCGAAATAGTACGTGGACTCATTTGATAGTTTTCCCTTCACTTAATAATGAATAGATTTGAAAGGAAACCCATCACATAGAAATTATAACATTAAGGATTACGAATAAATTTAATGAAATTTTAATTTGGCCGTAAATTCAAGGAAGTAAAAAAAATATTTCATGGATCCCACGATTAAAATCAGATTGTCTCTACGATCTTCAAGGTGAACGATTGACCGTAATTATCTATAAACATTTACTTGTGTAATCTATAATAACTTACGTTTGAATAATACATAACACAACGGATCACATAAAATTATTTTTGAGTAATTGAAGGATGGGGTAGCACTAAAAAATCAAGGAAAAAAACAAGACTATTCAAAATTTTATATAAGATTGACAAATATGACATTTGTGTCCTCACTAAAGACATGTCCCTCGCCGCCGCCTATTTCTAACGTTGGTTGGTGTTGACTACCGCCTATTTCACAGTAACAATTACACCATCACCGCCGTCCAATGACTACCGCCACCCTATGACCACCCTGCCCCCAGTGAGCACCCCCGCCCCCGACCACCACGCCCTTGACCATGTCCACCTAGCCCCACCCCTGCCCTTCCTCCGCACCATTGTCGTTGCCCCAATCTTCGAACCTGACCCCACAACAGAGCCTCTGTCCACCCCCAGTCACTCTAACAACCCTACATCCAGATAAACAACACTAGGCGCTGATATGTCGCAGCGCGACTGAGATGAAGAATAAGAAGAGTGTAAACCTGGAGGTGGTGGCTTTTGTGGGTTAGTTGCGACAAAGTCGGCAGCGAGGATTGGCGGCGGCAAAGTCACCGGTGGACAGTGATGGAATTTGAAGGGTTCGGATGAGGCGTCGGAAATGTCGGGCGGATGAGGATGTTTTTACTTGGATTGTAATTTGTTGGTCTAGTCTGGTCTGGTCTGTTCAAGTTTGGTATGGTCTGTTCTATGCCTGGGTCCGGTTCGATTCTAGTTAAAATTTAGTGGAACCATTTTAAAAAATGTAATTTTCAAAATCGGTTCGATTCTATACAAAAATTACCGGAACCGTTTTAAAACCGAACAAAATTTAAACTTTAAACGGTTCGGTTCTGGACTTTTTTCGATTCCTTAAAATCGTGTACTATTTCTAAAATGAACACAATTTAATTTATGTTACATAAAAAACATTCAAAGTTGAAATCATTATAAATACAAATTTTGTCAAACTTAGCCATTATATCGTGTGAACATTCAATTGGCCACCAAGCAAGCAAGGAAGACTGTAGTGTTTGGTGTGTGTTAATAACTACTTACGTCATTTGTGCAGTTTGTGTTACAAACTACTTATGTCATTTATACAGTGTGTGTTAAGAATTGCTCCACACTGTTTGTTAAGCTTAAAGGACCAGCCTAGTGGTTTCGTTTCTTAATTCTTAATACCTGGCCCGCAAATGTTGTTTGCATTTGATTAGGATATTGCTGTTATTATGTGCCTTTTCCCCCTAAAGAAGTTTAAATACATAGTGTAAATCAATAAAAAAATCATTTCATTCGGTAGATTAATTGCTCTCCTGCCAAGAGTAGAATGAAAGAACAAGTAATATTACCTAAGTTACCGCAATCAACATTCAATTTGAGCTAAAAGAACAAGAGTTTTTTACATGAATATTACCAATAGTATTTGCGGTTACAAAAAAGTGAGTAATGATACGGAACACGTTCTACAGCCTGAGAGTAAGGTAGGGCAACAAGTTATATTTTTGTCAGTGGAGTTTAAAGTGGTTATATTTGTGTAATTTTTTCAAAGAACAAATACTTCTATAATAAAAACAAATATGGAGTAATAAATATAATGGTGAACAAACATAATATTCCAACAAAGTTATCCTTTAAAGAGAATGTCCATTTCAAAAACTTCTAAACGGATAGAAGTAATCACCCACTACATTAAAAAAATGAAGTTGACTTCACACTGTAGCGACAATGTTTGACACTGTAGCAACATTGTTTGACACTGTAGCGACGCTGTTTGGCACTGTTTGGCACTATTTTGCAATGTTTGACACTGTTTTGTATATACTCCGTACGGTCCTAAATAAAGTTCACACTTTCCTTTTTGGGCCGGTCCAAAATAAAGTTCACACTTCTTCTCCTTCCTTATTTGGCAAATTATCTACATCAAAACAGTGCAAAACATTGCCAAACATTGTCAAACAGTGTCAAACAGTGTCAAACAATGTCACAACAGTGTACTCTATAGTAAAGTCAAATTTATCTCCTTAATTTGTGTGAAGTCAAACGCTGAACTTTATTTAGGACCGGAGGGAGTATTTGTTTACCAAATAAGGAAAGTTTCAAAGCAGAACAATTATTTTGGGACATCCATTTTGGGAAAGCAGGACATTTATTTCGGGACGGAGGGAGTAGTATATATAGGATATTCGGTTCCTAGAAGTCAATATTGGTTGAAACCGGAAATGAACCGAAAATTAGGCAAGTCAACAAATTTAGGAACCGAATCAGTGATTTTGGTTCGGTTCGGCTCGTTTTCCCGGTTTTGCAGTTCTAAGTCCCAGGTCTAGTCTGGTCTGAACTAGTCTAATCTAGTGTGGTAAACGTTTGGTCTCATTGTATTTTATAATTACGAAAGTCAAGTCTGGTCTGGTCTGTTTAAGTCTGGTCTAGTCTGGTTTATTTAAGCCTGCTCTGGTGTGATATATTTAAGTCTAGACTGGTCTGGTATGAGACTGAAAACAATCAAAGTAAAAACATCCTGAATAGGCCGTGTAGGGGTATTATAATTATGTATGTTTCAATTAGCATCTTTTTGTCAAAATGGGAAAGTAGTTATATACTCTACATTTCTTTATTGATAACTCACAAAATAAAATCTTTTTTATATGTGGACAAAATATTTTTATATGTGGACAAAATAAAATCATTTTTATAATAATTTTATATATGAACAAAAAAGTCACACAGTAAAAGGGAAATGACGGAATTATCCTTAAAACCTAACCCAACATCATTCCTCACATTTCATTATGGAAGCCTACTTCTCTCCTTCACATCGGATGCCACCACCCTCATCTACATCGCTAACCTCGTTGCTTCCATCAACCTCATCGCAGACCACCACAGCCATTGCCCTTGCGCCATTTGTCGGTCCCCCAACCCACCCCACCTCACCCCACGCTGATTTTCTATTACTTCTCTTTCTGTATAGAGACGGAGGTGTATGTTAACCAGGGGGGCTTGGCTCCACCACCTTTTTTATTTTATTAAATTTTACCTAGCAAGTAAATTTTTTTAGGCCCCCCTCAACTTTTATTTATTTTAATATGATAGCATAAATCACTTTGATTATCTTCCAAATTTTAACAATTAATAAAAAATCTCCATCATCAAGTGGTGGCCGCCCTATTTTGGAGGTGTAAATGTGTAATTATTTCACCACAAAATAAATATACTACGTATTACATTTATTAGATATGTTGAAACAATAAAGTGTAGAGCTAAAACAAATCCGATAAATGTGTTGTCAAAACTAAAGGGTGTTCAAAATACACACTTCCCGGCCTCCCCTTCCATCACATCCTGGCTCCGTCCCTGTTTCTGTACGACCGATGGTGGGACGGATGAGAGTCGAGCGGGCATCACCGTCATCAACGGAGTTCGGTAGATGAAAATTGTCGTCGATGGGTGCCGGTTGCTAGGATTGTGACCATTTCGGTTCTTAGACAAAATTAATGGAATCATTTCAAAAATCTGAACTCGTACAATCGATTCGACTCATATAAAATATTTGTAGAATCAATACGGACCAAACCAAACCTTAACGGTTTGACTCTTGTCATTTTTGTGTTTCTAATTTTTAAAATCTCATACCAATTACTGTTAAAATTGTCACATAGAGACATTCAATTAAGTCTCAAACATAAGTACATAAAAAAAGAACTAAAAATGACTGGGATTTTCTAAGCTATATATATTGTGAGTGTGAGCATCTAATAAAAAAGATAAAAAAAAATTAAAATATATACAAGAGAATTGGCGAGACCATCTAATAAGAAGTGTAACCAAGTTAAAACTTATCAATTCAATTAATTAGAGAGTTGGTGAATATAAAATAAAAATAATAAGTAAATATCACTAGAAAAATGTCTATTTGTTGCGGTTGTTTTCACATCATTGCTGCAGTTCTGAACCGCACCAATTAAAGGATCAGCAATATGTGGAACGACCGCAGCAAATACTCCTTTCAAAATCAACATATTGCAACCATTTCTACCACACCCATGACCCATATATGTTCCATTTTTTTATTTTTTTTCTTCTGCAACACCAATATGAACTGCCCTTATTATTACAATTCCAAATGAACAAGTAAGCATATTTTCCACCAAAACAAGACATTTATACAACGAAAACGTAATTTTTAATGAATTGAATCATCACCAATGTCACTTATGAATTGAAGTATCACAAATACATCATACACCCAATACAACAAAATATTTGTCTTAGAATACATTCTTTATGTTTAATATAAAGTTTACAATAAGCTATCACAAATATAGATGGCCCATGCATCCCGAACTTCATCGATTTCATCTTTTGACATTGCCTCATCTCTTATGGTGCTCTTGTAAACCTATAAAAATAAGCAATTACATTATTAATATTTGAGGTGAAACAAACAAATAACAAATCATGAATAAAAATGTCGCTAGAAATTTTCTAGATATTCCTATTAAGAAGCCCAAAGTTTATTTATTCAATGTCTTCTAAAACATATACTTTTAATTTTTTTAGTTCATTATTACAATTAAAATTTTGCAGCCATCAGATTGCACCGTTATTACTTTTAAAATTTTAGACCAGCTTGCACGTTTTAATGTTTCATTTAGTTTTG